CCTTAATCCCTTCAGTGAAGCACGCCGCTGCTCGCGTCGCCATCGGATCTCTGTGTCACCATGACGTAACCGTCCGGTTTTCTCTCATTACCCAGAATTCTCTGGCCTGGAAGTGTGTTCAGCTGTGGTCTTTAACCCCGTGGAGCAGTCGGCAGCGGCTCTGGAGGACGAGGAAGGCGGCTCGGAGCTGAAGGGACCTGTGGTAAGACCCGCTTGATGTTGCTGCTCACAGCTGGACTCGCTTCCTGGGATAACGAGCTCCGCCTCTTCCTCCAGATCGACAGACGCTGCGCTCGCTGCAATAAAGAAGGGATGATCTACCACACCAGGCAGATGAGGTCTGCAGATGAAGGGCAGACGGTCTTCTTCACCTGTATGCACTGCAGGTGGGTCTAACAAACATCTCCCTTTTTCTGCAGCTTTGGGAGGAATTTCTAATGGGGTTGACTTTTCTGTTTTAGGTATCAAGAGAAGGAAGATTCATGAGGAAGACATCCCACAGCTGGGATAGCTCCTCAGTTATTAGACGGACCAGGAGTGGAACGGGACGGCAGCTGGCTGCCTCCAGTGGAGATGCTCATTTTCTCTGATTAATCTCAATCTGGTTTTATCTGATGGTTGTTAATGATGCATAATTTTCACAGCTGGAAATAAAGGTCAGAAGTTCCCAAGGTTTCCTTTCTCTAAACTGATTAAAGAAACATTCGATTGAGATGTTGGTTTAGCTTAAGTCTTTAAGCTGCACTAAAAAGAAACAAAAAGGTTTGATAAATTAGAAATAAAAAGATCAGGAACCTGAATCCCATCTATGAACTGCTACATTGTTCTTTTTGAAAAAGGATAAAGAAAAAGTCATTTTGGTGTAAAAATTAGAGCAGCCTTTAGGTCTAATCCAGGTTGGGGGAAAGTGGATGCTCCGGAACGAGACCAAGATGGCAAACTTCAGTCTCCATCTTTGAGATGGTGAAGAGTTCTGGATATTTAGCCTGGATATTTCCAGGCTAAATATCCCATGTTTCCTGGAACCACTTCTCCCTGAATGTGTCACAGGGAGAGCCTGCATCTGTGGGCTTCTGCAAGCCTCTAGCAGAAATATTCATTTATAGGAAGGAGGTTGTTTGATATTTGTTCCTGTTATCTTGTATTGAATCTGTAAACTTTACAGCATAGAGACTGATGATGTTCAAAGCAAAGCAGAGATTTACAACATACAGAATGAGGTTTGCAAAGTATTCTGGGAGGCCGCTTTGTTCACAAGTCAGCTCCTGACATCACTCTGTCTGAAGGGATCATTGGAGGGCACTTCCCTCTAGCTCTTAGAAGAATTCGGACACGCTAACCTTACACCTGAAGGTGCAAAACCAAGTGCTAGTGAGAGGAAATGGGACTGGGCCAAATGTCTCAGTGTTTTACAAACGATCCAAAGTCAGGAAGGCAGAGCAATGCTTGCCTGAAGACAGAATCGATCTACAGGCGGTATGCACCTTAAAGTTTCTTGTGATCCGCCTTAATAGAAAAGCAGAGAAAAGAAGAACAGCAAAAGAAGCTGTTAGAAATGTATCAGTGGATCTAATTAATAATCTCAGTAAATCTGAAGTTAAAATGTTAATTAAACTGTTAATTTAACAGAAAATGAAGGATATCTGGCAAAAGGAGATGGTGGGGGGTGATGGTTTTATAAAATTCAGAAGAAAACTTGAGAAATAAGAACAGGAAGACCTAGAAGAGAAGATTGAGATGTGGGAATATTGGCTTAAACAGTTCTCTGTTTATCTTGGGGAAACATGGATGTTAAATATGAATTCTGCAGGATAGATGAAACCATTGAACATGTTTTACTGTGATAACTGAGGAGGAGAGGCGGCAGTAAAAGTTAATTTTGATTCATGTGAATTATTGAGAAGTTATTCAGAAAGTAGCATTTACAGGATAATATTTCGATACATAAAAGATAATACATTGGTATAATAGAATTGAATTCCTGAGAGTCATTCTGGTCCATGTTCCATACTATTTTTTTTTTTTAAACTTTATTAGAGAATTACGATTCTTTAGTACAATTTCCAAAGAACAATCGCCAGGGGTTTGAATAAAAATAGTTATAATAAATAAAAAATAACTAAATAAACATATAAATAGTACAGTGAGCAAAGCTAGACATAGAACCATATAAGGGGATTACATAAATATTTTGAATTTAGAGCATAGATATAAAGTTTTAACAGCCCTTTTGTTATTAGAAGATGATAATGTAGATAAATAAATTCTTGCTTCCTTTAAGAAAGAAAGACATACATGAGGGTTTAGTCATAAAAATGTTTCATTTATGGATATAAAACTTGACCCACAGAAGCAAAAGATTACATTAAAAAAATGGTAAGAGAGTTTTTTTCCATATTCTTTAATTCCAAATAAAACATCCTTAAAATAAAGTTAAAATTTGTCGTAAATATTGTCCAGAATGAAATGACAAATGCCTTGCCATAGACGCCTGGTGGAGTCAGACTCTGAGTAAATGTTACAGAAAGTGCAGTGGAATTCATGTCTTTTTTATATTGAACCAAAAATGACTTTACTGGGTAACAGTGGTGAATAATCTAAAAGGAAACTTCTTTAAACTTGTTTAATAGAAAATATTTATTAGGTAGAGACCATCTTTTGTTCCCACATATTTCTTAGACCAGACCAGACTGAAATTATAGAAGGAGCTAAGATGCAGTTATATTGGAATAAAGTGTGAATATGTTATTTTTAGAAGAAGTTGGTTTAAAAAGACTGTCTACCTATTTAAGTATCAGTAGGATCAGGTGGAGTTCTCGGGCCTTAGGAGAACAGAGAAGTCTGACCTTTAAATAACATTATAACACCTGGTGGAATAGCATCAAAAACAATCGCAAACTGTTTTGGGCTTATAGGAATCTTAAAATGACAAAGAAATTCTTGATAATTAAAGAGGTTTTTCCTTTTTCATTGAGAAGTTGACTTATTAGTGTGAAATCCTTCCTAAATCAATTTTCAAAAAACAGATCATTTCTTATAGCATATATCTTTATTATTCCAAAGAAAGAGACCTATTAGGAGAAAAATTATGTTTGAAAATTAGTGACCGGGCCAAAAGGGCTTGTTTATGAAAATTAGAGAGAGCGACAGGAAAGCGATCAATGTTATAATTACACAGAAAAACAAAATGAACACCACCTATCTTAGAGAACATGTGGTGAGGAATAATTCCAGATTAAGGTAGGATTTTTAAGGCAATTTTTGATCCAGTTCACTTTGAATGTTTTGTTAATTGTTGTGACGTGGAGAAAGTTAAGACCTCCTGGATCATAACTATTCATTAAAACAGATTTTTTTATGTAATTATTTTTGTTTTTCCAAATAAAGTTGCTTAGTGTTCGATCAATTTCTTTGCACATCTTTTGGTCGACAGCCAGAGAAACAGCAGCATAGGTTAGTCTGGAGATTCCTGCAGCTTTAGGAAGAAATATTCTTCTCTTTCTAAAATTGGGCTAAAGTTAAGGTCACATCTAGTGTTCTGTTTTTTTTTTTTTTTTTTTATTGGGATATTGCAGAGATGGGACAGTTCATGTTTCTAACAGCCATAAATTCCAGATTCGTTGAACTGTAAAATGCCTTGAGATGACTTGTGTTGTGAATTGGCGCTATATAAACAAACTGAATTGAATTGAACTGAATAAATCCACATTTCTTCACATTTAAGCAAAGACCTGAACCATCAGAAAATGATCAATTCAATTAGAGAAACTTCAGAAGAGTTTAAAAAAAATTGCTTTATCATCAGCCAATTGGCTAAAAGTAATTATTTTATCCAGACCTGACCTTCCACCCAGTTGACTGTTTATTATGTGACTAGCCAATAATTGAGTGGATAACAGAAATAAATGAGGGGAAATGGGACAACCTGGCCCTATACAACGCTTTAAGTCGAATCTTGGGGATGTTCCGTTTTTCAATTTGAATGAACTATTTCCTTTATTATATAATGTTTTAGTAGTATTCCAGAAAAAAATTACCAAAACCAAATAGGTTTAATGTTTCAAAAATAAAGCTGTGTTCAATTGAATTGAATGGTTTGTAAAAGTCCAGGGAAAGGATTAAGCTTTCGTTGTTAATCAAACCTGGGTAATCTACCAGGTCAAGCAGAAGCCTGATATTATTAGAGATGTGTCTGTTTCTTAAAAAGTCTGATTGCGTTTCTTCAATAATGTAATTCAGAACTAACTTTAATCTCTTAGCAAATATTGTGTTCAGGATTTTGTAATCGTTATTTAGTAGACTAACTGAGTAACGTTGGTTTGGGAATAAGAGTAATAATCCTTTGAGTGAAGGAGGGAGGGAACCATTAGTAAAGCTTTCAGTATGAATGAACCCTCCAGACCAGTAGGTGGCGGAAATGCATCAAATTGTTGTTTGCCAACGAAGAAAGGAAGGCGAAGAAGATAATTTGTTCAGATTTAAGTAGTGCATTAATAAGTATTCTAGAATTTAATTCAGAATCAAAGCAAGATATTATATTGGATATTTTTCTCTCAATTTTTAGGATTAGAAATGGTGGTTCTGTTAAATTAGTCTGGATTCCTGCTCACATTGGTGTTATAAGTAATGAGTTAGCTGATAGTTTTGCTAAGAGTGCTGTAAAAAAGGATGTTGATTTAAACATTAACATTAGTAAAAATGAGTTAAAGAATATTATAAAAATGTATTTCAAGAAGAAATGGCAAGAACAGTGGGATAAAGGAGGGAATGCTAGATTTTATTATAGTATTCAAAAAAAAGGTTGGAGAATTAAGAAAATGTAATAGAATTAAAAAGAATAAGACATTATATCTAGGATAAGGTTCGGACATACAAGATTAAATAGTACTCTTAAAATAATGAATATTTTAGGAAGAATATAATAGTTTGTCTGATCCATACTCCATTCTGGAAGGTGGCGGTAATGCACCTATAAGTTGTTTGCCAACCGCCATTAAAAAATAGAAGAAGAAGAAGAGGCGAAGAAGAAGAAGAAGAATAGAAATGGGGAGAAACAATAGACTAATGCTGTTGTGACAAACATGTTATTTAGTTTAAAGTTAATTTCTGCGTCCTATTTCTCTCAGCGGAAGCTCCAGTTCAGACGCGGAGCACTTTGACCGGAAGCAGGTCCTGAAAGTAGCTCTGTAAATATTCTCTGGTTAAGTTGCATCAAAGGTAGAGCGGCTACAGTAAATATCTCTGATTTATTAAATCCTCTGTTTGTGTTTCAGATCATGAAGCTGCGGGTCCAGCTGCAGTGTAAGAACCTGCATGAATACCTGCGGGAGCTGAACCCTGACATCCTGGACAGGCTGTTTAACCATCCAGCAACATGTCTGGCTGTTTACAGGTAGGAGGCCTCTGCTGACAGCCTGTCCTCCGCCTCTATTACCCTCATCTCTGATTATTCACTGATTGATGACTGCCTGTTGGTAGTGTGGGCTTAAAGTGAAGCCACCGGCCGCCATATTGGTACTCCCTAGTTAGACCGGTCAGAATGTAAACAGTCAGCATCATACAACAATGATGTTCTCATTTTCAGGGAGACTTAAGACATTTAAAATAAAGAGAAATTCATCACTTTGACACAGACTGACTGTTTCATAGCATCAGTAGATTAATTTAACTTTCAATAAATAAAAAAAAATTGGCAGTTCACATTACATAGGCAAGGCAAGGCAAATTTATTTGTATAGCACAACTCAGTACAAAGACAATGCAAAGTGCTTTACATGATTAAAATACAGGAAAATAAGGAAAATACTCATTATTAAGTTAATGAAGTTTATAAATCATGTAATATACCATATTATACAAATCCATCACAATAAAATTAATGTATTAATGGAGCATAATAACACAGATGTGCCAAAATGTATGATGTAAATGTAATATACATGTATTGATGACATTGTTATGGTAATTACATTTTACATTTCATTTCAAGATTTCACATCCACACTGAATTAAAAGTACATCTCTGTTAAAGCTGTAGTATTTTCCTATTTGCAGATGTTGCATGCATGATGGCATATACTTTTGTGCATTAGTCTTTAAAAATGTTTGTTGCTTTTTTCCGTCAATATAACATGCAATATATTTCAACTTTTTCAACTGAGAAACAGAAACAAACACTACAAAAGCCACAGCATCATCCACTGAATAAAGAATTACTACACTAACATTTCCCAGTGAATGACTTTCTATTTCCTCTACTTTCTATTTTCTATCGTTAGACCCAATGTCAGTGTCTAACTCAGTCCATGTCTGCCAGTCAGTCCCAGATAGCCAGACTAATGTTAGTCTACAGACTATACTATAGGATCCATCGGCTATAGATGGATTTATTGCTTAGTTCATCTATTGACTATGAAATGACCTGTGGAACGTCTTCCTGCAGCCGGAAAACTGCTGGTTTTTGCAGTCAAATGCTGCACATGTAGGGAGTTTGACTGCGTCTCCATGGGAGCAGTTAGAACCAATATGGCGGCTGGTGGCTTCAGTTTTTTCGGGGAATCAATAGAGTTATAAACTATTATAACACCGACGATCGGTTCTGTTTGTTTTTCCTAACAGGGAACTTCCCTCCCTGGCTAAGAATTATGTGATGCGGATGCTGTTCCTGGATCAGCCTCTTCCCCAGGCTGCTGTGGCATTATGGGTAAAAAAAGACAGTCAAAAGTGAGTCCTCCACCTCTGTTTTTATTTGTTAGAGAATAATATACTTTCAGTCACACTATTTTCCATTACATGTTAAAGATGGTCTCAAAAAGACAGTATTATTGTTTATGGCAACAACTTTAAGGATAATTCACCTTCCAGCTAAACTTCTCAAAACAACAGGCAATCATATATGGGAAAACACTTTGATAGTATAAACATGAAACTTTAAAACTGGACTTTGTTTTCCAAGTTTGAAGACGTTTCGCTTCCCATCCGGGAAGCTTTTTCAATTCAAAATGTCAGGAGTAACATTGAGTTCCAGGCTTATAGAGTGACAGAAACAAAAGCCTTGTTATGGTTTAGAAAACACGCAAATTGAACCAAAAAAACAGGTCCTCCCCTTAGCAATGGGGAGTCGTTGAGAAAGCTTCTGGATGGGAAGCAAAACGTCTTCAAACTTGGAAGACAAAGTCCAGTGGATTGTTTTGTAACTTTTTGGAAAGACTCTGACCTGGATGACTGAGAATCTTCACCAGTTTTATTCAGTTTATTTCAATGGCGCCAATTCACATCATGTCATCTCAAGGCACTTTCTATGGGAGAATTATCCTGCCATAATGCAAGAGCACATAATTTCAATTTGAGAAAAGAATTTCATCTTCTTGCACTCAAAACTTATAATTCTCACACTCAAAACATGCGCTCTCTCTCAAATATTTTCTCTTCTCTCTCAAATCTTTGTTTCTTCTCTCAGATTTAATGCTTCTTGCACAGATATTTTCTCATCTCGCTTGCCTCCTTCTCTTCGCGCACAAACAGCGCTCTGCACAAATCTCAGATACACTCGCAAACCCGTAGGCTCTGCTTGCGGATCTGAGATTTGTGCAGAGCGCTGTTTGTGCGCGAAGAGAAGGAGGCAAGCGAGAGGAGAAAATATCTGTGCAAGAAGCATTAAATCTGAGAGAAGAAACAAAGATTTGAGAGAGAAGAGAAAATATTTGAGAGAGAGCGCATGTTTGGAGTGTGAGCATTATAAGTTTTGAGTCCAAGAAGATGAAATTATTTTCTCAAATTGAAATGATGTGCTCTTGCATTATGGCAGGATAATTCTCCCATAACTTTCCAGTTCACCAGATCATCCATTCAGATTGATTCAGTTTTCTATCCAAGGACAATAGTTTTGCTAACTCTGAAAGTTCAGCTGGATCAAAGCAGTCTAAACCCGGTTCAGATTCCATGACTACCTCAGATGCTGCCCCACCCTCCAGAGACAAACCAATCGTAGATAGAGGAGTGCTAATGATCTTATTTTTAATAAGTTCAATCTTATTTATAAAGAATCCCATAAAATCATTGCTGCTAAGAGCAGGTGGAATGGACGGTTCAACAGAGCTATGGCTCTGGGTGAGTTTGGCAACTGTATTAAAAAGAAATCTAGAATTATTCTTATTCTCCTCTATTAATGAGGAGAAATTTGCTGCTCTTGCTTTACAAAGGGTCCTCTTATACAGCAGTAAACTATTTTTCCAGACTAGGAAGGACTCCCGTAGGCCTGTGAGGCGATATTTTCTCTCCAGTTTCCGGGCATTTTGCTTCACCAGCACTCTGTTGGAAGTTTTAATAAAATCCATGTTTAGTTTGCAGCTTTTCTTTCCCATCCTGAGCAGAACGAAGATGATTGTCTGTTTCTTGCTGGTTCTGGTTAAAATGATCACCTGTGTTTCTTTTTCGCTGTGTTCCTGCAGGGATCATGATGACTGTGTCTCAGTGTTGACCGGCCTTCGCCTTTGGCACAGTCAGCACCTTCAAGGAGGGCTTCAGGGGTACATTTTAAATCCAGTGTTCAAAGAAAACCTAGGAACCGCACTGCTGGGAGGGTAAGTCTGCTTGCAGAAATGCATTTAGATTTCTCCATGCTGGGTCTTTTTCTAGAACTGAAGTTTAGTTGATGTTGTGCATCAATCACCTCATGTTTGGCTACAGTTTGACACAATGGGCCTGACTCAGCAACAAGTATTATTGTTATATTGCAGGAAACCTCGAGCATGGTGCCATATCCCACTGTTAATGCTTCTTTGTTTTCATATCATTCCTACTTTATACATACAGTGAGGAGAATAAGTATTTTAACACCAAGTTCTGCCACTTAGAAACATGGAGGGGTCTGAAATTGTCAGGTGTTCATATACTTGTTTGCAGCTGCATCATACAAATATAATTTAAATGTGATTTCTGCATTATTATTATTTTTTAATTCTGTCTCTTAGAGGGGACATGCACCTACAATGACATTTCAGACCCCTCTATGATTTCTTAGTGGGAGAACTTGCAAAATGATTCCAGACATTAGCCCCGTTAACACTGCCCTCTGAAACCGATCCGTGCCGAGCTCAGGTCTTTACGACCATTTCCACACCACGCTAGTACGGTTCCTCGCCTCCTAATGACGCTCTATGGTGCTGCTGCTCTCTAGAGGTAAACAAACCAACATGGCGGCGCCCGTAACATTCAGAAAGTTTGCAGAGAGTCAGGTGAAGAAGGAAGCCTTTGATGAATTTACTTGACAGAGTCGGCTTTTGGGAAGTGGATACGACAAACGATAGTCTAATCAGGGCTTCCAGATGCAGGAAACAACGACAAACGCTGAGGTTCATCACCCTGCTAAGCAGAATCATCACTGGAAATCGTGCAGCCCGGTAGTGAAGCTAGGATTTTTATGAATGTCTGAAATTTCCTGATTACAGAGGCTGACGGTAAGGAGATGAGGCGGTCTGCTCATGCACTCTTTTACCCCATTTACACTAACCTTGAAAAACCGTGCAGAGACCGGTCTGAGCTCAGTAACTGAGATAACTTATCGTGTGTAAATGGAAAGCAAACTGAACTGAACCGCGCTAACTGCAGACCAGTTCCAGAGGTGGGCTCGGCTCGGTTTTTCCCTGGCTCGGTTCTCTGATAACAAGAGCGCATGAGCAGAACGCGTCATCTCCGTCTGGCTGCACGTCCCGATTCACACTCCATTCCAGTAGATGGCGGTAATGCCCCTCTGGAAGTTGCTTGCCAACCAACACAAAACAGAAGAAGAACAACTATAAACAACAATTGAAATCTTCTCCATGCAACATTTTAAATAGTGTTGCACCGATACCGATACCAGTATCGGACGGGGCCCCGATACTGCCCTAAAATGCTGGTATCGGTATCGGCGAGTACCAATAAATAGGGTTCCGATACCATTTTGAGAGCCATAAGTTTATTCAACTATTGTCAACCACTCCTGGTAGGCAATAAAAAGTTCTACTGGATTCACTTTGTATTAGATTTTTTCCTGCTTCACAAAGGTAGGCAGCAGCTTGAAAAAGCCATGATGGCAATTATTTTACATTATTATGGTATCGGTATCGGCCGATACTGCACAGCCAGGTATCAGGTATCGGTATCGGGGCCAAAAAACGGCATCGGCGCAACACTAATTTTAAATAATAACACCGAAGTACAGCAATAATAATCAAGCATAACTTTCTGAATGTGACGCCATTTTGATTTGCTTGATTCCCTCCTTCTTCGTCTTCTTCTTGTGTTTTATGGCGGTTGGCAAACAACTTTTGGTGCATTACCGCCACCAACTGCTTTATTTCCTCCTTCAATACTGGCAGTAATACCGCAGATCGTCACTAGGAGGCGAGGAGTCGAGATAGCGTGATGTGTAAATGGTCATCAGAACCGAGCTGGGCCTGGTTAACTGATCCGAGCTCGGACCGGTCTCTGCATGGATCGGTTTTTTCAAGGGTAGTGGAAATGCGGTTTTTGTTATCTGAGAGCTAAGCCAAAACTGAACCTCGCCGAGCCCTACTAATGAGCTAGCACCAGTTTAGGGCGGTTCGGTTGTGTCTGGGGCGGCCTGGTTCAGTTTGGCGTACCATTTACAGTAAACAATTACCTCGGTTACCGTGCTCGGACCGACCTCGGCACGGTTTCTGGAGAGTAGTCTAACTGGGGTTATTTTCTCAGCGTAATTCTAGCAGGTTTGGTCTTATCTGTTTTCCCTGTGCTGTGCTGTAAGCCCCTCCCCCCCGGCTTCAGTTCCACTGATGCGCTGAAAAAAAACTAACGTGGAAAAACAAAAGTAGCGAGGCCACCGCTCCCTATAAGGACTTTTTTTACAGTTTAGAATAAAGAAAAATAAAATAAAACATCCAACAGAAACATTTCCATCCATTCAGTCCGTTCTTTAACCCCTTCATGTCTGAACTGATCAGGGCTGCATTGATTCCAGGTTTCTAGCCGATCACTGATGATGATCTTTAAAAAGCCCAACCTGCCGTTTCTGATTAGAACAAACAGATGAAAGAGATTCCAGCGTTTAAGGAAATGAAAACCTCTGACACAATAAAAAGATTTGTTTCATCTGCAAAAGAAAATCCTTTCAAGTATAAATTAAAAGCTTTTCAGACTTTTGCAGAAGATGGTAGGTTAAGATGAATTATTCTATTCCTGATATACATGTTTATTTAAAAAAGATTACTTTAACTGTAAATAGACCTTCCATAAAGTTGTTTACTCTGACTATCAATTTGCTACACAGAGGCACCCAGTGGGCGGATGAGGGGAGCAGCCTGGGTCCCGACCGCCATGCCAGAGACATCGAAAGCCTGGACCGCTACGCCATGGAGCGCTGGGAGGTCATCCTGCAGTTCATGGTGGGGTCACCCAGCGCCGTCAGTCAGGACTTGGCTCAGCTCCTGATCCAAGCAGGCCTCATGAAAAGGTTCGAAAACATCCTGGATCCTTTTAAAAAACATAAATATAAATAAAATACAAAACAAATGTTTAGACAGGATTTTAACCCTTTTAATAAATCATCTGTTGTTTAACCTGCTGCTTATTGCATTCCGCTCATTTATTGGAGACGGTGTAATTCTGTATTAAATTACTGGAACCTGCTGCCACCTGCAGGACGGAGGCCATATTACGGCCTCTTCCTGCTGGAATCTAACCGTTTGTCTCTCACTGAACACAAAGCGAGGCAGGAGAAGCGCCGTACATCACGTCTGCTGGTTTCCAGTTCCTGCTTCTGGACACAGCCTCTCAGCTTTGGTACTTCACCTTGCAGTACCTGAAAACTGCTCAGGTGACGTAAACCTGGATGTTAAATAAAGAGTCATGTAGGGAACCTTTATGTTTTTGTCTTAATGAATGTAGACTTTTTGTTCCATGTCTTCCAGTCTAGAGGAATGGACCTGGTGGAGATCTTATCGTTCTTGTTCCAGCTCAGCTTCTCTACTTTGGGGAGAGTGAGTCCAAACGTCTGCTTTGATTTGCATAATGTCTGCTGTCCTGTTTAGTCTTTTAGGATGTTGGAGTCCAAATGATAAATATTGTTTACAGTGAACTTTAAATTTTAGAAGAAGAAAGAAGAATTCAACTTCATTTTCATTGCATTGTCACAAGTACTAATCAATGAAATTCACCTTCTGCATTTAACCCTTCCCTGTGGGGAGCAGTGGGCTGCTATTGTGCGGCGCAAGCCAAGCGCAATGCCCTAACCACTAAGCCACCACTCCCCAAACACTCAAATATCACTATTCCAAACAAAAGAGGATAAAAAACAAAACAACAAAACAATATTTTATAATAGACTAAATGCCTCAACACACTGGTTGTGTATGAGATTTAAATCCCCCCCATTTTTTGTTTTTTCCATGTGATACTGACTGCGTGTTAGGCTTAATCACCCAAACACTTCTCAAATAGAAGAAGGAAGAGCGACGTTAGATTCTTTTAACCTCAGGGAGAGACCCTGCAGAGATGACATCATTACAATCTCCTACCAATCTGAAGCACCTCTGCTGCTTTCCTCGCTCTTTATTGGAAAAAGGGAGTCCTTAGTGACAATAGATCACGCTGTAACTAAAGGAATGTGTAGGGAGTCAGTGTAGTGTGATGCAGTGATACAAATACATTTCCTCATGCAGGCAGTGACCTTGAATTATACACATAAAAAACATTCAGTTCCTGGTGCCTGCAAATGAGTCTAATAAAGATAATAGAATAAATAAACATAATACAGGATAATATGAAATAAAAGAGAATAGCTGCATATAAAGAGGCTCTGACTAGCAGGATGAGCAGATCTATGCAGATTTTTGTCACTTCTGTCTTTGTGCTCTACACAAATTATAACAATTTCCCACATTTGACTGGAACAGATTATGAAAAGTTATTAGACATAATAACGTTATTGGCGTTAATGCCAGACACTTATCGGGCGATTAAAAAAAGTATCGCCGTTAATCTAATCTCACGGTTGGGTTAATGATGACTTTTAACTTGATATTTCAGCGCGGATTCCGTAAAAGTTCAAAAAAATCCACTGGACTTGGTTTCCAAGATTTGAAGACGTTTCTCCACCTCTCCAGGAAGCTTTCTCAATTCGTTATCCTGTAATATCTGAAACCTGTGTATGATTCTGAAGGTTGGTCATTAAGGAGCGACCCTTCACAATCAAATGGTAAATAGTATGTACTTATATAGCGCCTTTTTTCAAGTCAGCAGACTTGACCAAAGCGCTTTACACTACATTCATTCACCCATTCACGCACACACTGATGGTGGCAAGCTACATTGTAGCCACAGCTGCCCTGGGGCTCACTGACAGAAGCAAGGCTGCCATAAACTGGCGCCACCGGGCCCTCTGACCACCATCAGTAGACAATGCAGGTGAAGTGTCTTGCCCAAGGACACAACGACAATGAAAGTCAGAGCAGGGGCTTGAACCGTCAATCCTTCGATTTCAGGGCAAACTCCTACATCCAACGCAACTGTCGCCCCATCAAAGACAGGTTTCAGATATTACAGGCTAACAATGGAACCAAACGACCCATTCATCGGTTACTATTTGCATGTTTCCAAGCGATACAAGGCTTTGTCTATATAAAGACTCAAACTCACTGCCGATCCAGACATCTGAATTGAGAAAGCTTCCTGGAGAGGTGGCGAAACGCCTTCAAATCTTGGAAAGCAAGTCCAGTGGATTGTTTTGAACTTTTACGGAATGACTATGACCTGGATGACTGGGAATCTTCATCAGATTTTAGCGCGGATATTTATCTGGGACCGAGAACAAATCAGTCTTCCAACCTGTGTGGGCAATGACCATATTGAACATGCTGACATGGATGACATGCTGTGCTAAAAGCACAGCTCTATCAGCCAAGCTGAACAATCCTATTGCTCAGCGGATAGCCACAAGCTGAGCTTGAGCCAGTTCTTCAGGCGGCCACAGGTTGCCCATCTTACAAACTATCATGAGGAGAATACATGACCAGCGTTCCACGGAGAACACCGCCAAAGATGATCGGGGCGACGTCTGTGTCAGATTTTTGGAGACACTGTATTGTTAAAGTGGAACATCTATAAATGGAACTGGGAAATAATTTTTTTGCAGCAAAAACACAGTAACAAAGTAGCAAAAAAGTATTTATAACTTTGTCAAAATCTTAAGTAAGACGACCAAATCACGTTTGATTTTGCAAACATAAATAAAGTAAACCTGTTCTTTTAAATTCTAGAGGTAGCACACATATAATGTATGCCTTTGGCAGAATTCAAATGAGTGATTTTAATCTGGATTAAATCCAAGATTACAGTGAGATTAATCTAGATTAAAAAAATGTATCTATGCTGATCACTAAAAATAATACAAACAAAAATAAACCCGGCACATTCTATAAGCAAAGCTCCGCTTAACGACACTGTGCAGCATCTAGAACCAGAACAGATAGAGAATGTTCATCTGTTAAACACATAATGAGATCTAAAGAAAAGAACAACGCAGCAATAACCTCTGTGGGACGGTTTCTATGGTGACAGAGAGGTGATTCTCAGAGAGATCTGGGAAGTTTATCCAAGTTTTTCTTTCTTTTTTCCATAAAGAGGTGAGAGAGATGCGCTGCTCTGACCTGCTCTGTCTGCTCCTCCTTATTCTGGTTTCTGTGAGGCTCAAAGAGGATCAACTACTTTATCCCGTTTCTGTCCTCCTGAACTCCTATCATGGGGAAAGTTTCTATTTTAATGTTTCATTGTTTTTGCTCCAGTCTGTCCTGCTCACTATAAAAGCGATGTGAGACTTCAAACTGACTCTTTTTTTTCCCCCCAAAGCGGCTGTGTGTTACTTGTAACGCGTCTCTCTTCCTGTCAGACCCATGAAATTGCTGCTGAATTGCTGCATAGTCCTACTAAAATAGACCTGAGGTCTATCTCCGTCGGAGCTATGCTGCCCCCTGCAGGAAATCATGTCGGGTGTGATCATCTCCATTGACTTTCAACGAGCGCTAAACGCCACGACCTCTACGACAGGATTTTCTGTCGGATCGGACGCAAAGTCTGTGTGTTCAGTGCTTAAATATCAATAATAACACCTGTCAGGGGTACATTAATCAGATGTATTTCTTCCTACTAATATTACTCTAGCTCCCTCTACATTGTCTGTCATTGTGCCACCTTTGCAGTGATGTTACTGTCTTTAGCGCCTTCACTGCTGTTTGGTCAAAAGAAAATGACCTGCCTATTCAAGGCAAAAAAGGTTTGCATCTGCTGTTCTGCTCATGTTAAACGCAATATGAACCCGCTGAGAGGATTAGCTCTGCACACCCTATCCAGTTTCAACATGTTTTTATTCATGCAAACCATCTGAAGATATGGCCCTGACCTTCCAGCCTTCTGAGAACCTGCCTGCAAGCAGAATGTGGAAAGAACAATGAATGGTTGTAATGCATATGACAGCAAACAAGAAGGCAATTATAAGATGCAGATTGTAATTATGTAAATGAATAAAAAAATCAGCTTCTGTTAAACATGCAACATTAGCTGTGGACACAGACTTAGTCTTTACTTTAAGAAATACAATGAAAAGGTCAACCTCAGGCCTGTGTGCAGAACTATCCTTCTAGAAACCCTCTGATTGGTGAATTCTGATATTCAGGGTCACATCATTAATTTACTGCAGTGGTGTCCAAAGTATTTATGTTTTTACTCCAATAGAAGTATAAATCCTACTATTTAAAACACTTTTGTAGGAGTTAAGCTTTTTACTCAAGATAAAGTTTAAAAGTAGCGTTTTTAATCAATCAAAGTTAATTTGTATAGCACTTAACACCAGGAATACCAAAGTGCTTCACAGAAAGATAAAAACATTGTAAAAAACATAAATCCTAAGCATAAAACAATGTGTCCTAAGTAATAAAAGCCAATCTAAAAAAATGAGTCTTTAATGTAGACTTAAAAAGGAACAGATTTGTGAGAACCTGCAGAACGAGGAACACACTGTTCCATAGTTTAGGTGCTCCAACCATAAAAACAAGCATTTAAATTTTAAAATCGATCCAAAAACGGACCGGGAGCTAGTGCAGGGAGGAGAAAACTACTTAAAGTATAAAAGTAAAAGTCATGCAGGAAAAAAATGAGCTTTACTTGCACTAACCTACTAAAGGAAAATTTTTCTGTAATTCTGGATGATAACTTCCTTTGATTTCATTTTCTTAGTTTTATAACTAATGGTAACAGAGTCAAATTTAACTTTGCATCATCTTGAAAAACTATGTATGTTGGTATGTGGTGAGCAACAAGTTGGGGCAACACCGAGTCCAACCACAAAAAAGAAATTGTCTGAACGAAACTAATTATTTTAATGGTCTTTATTTATTTTTTAAATACCAACAGACCGTAATTAAAATGAGCTTAAATGAAACAAAACTAAGGAGTCTTTTTTAAAATGTAAGTAATAGAAAGTAAAGATAATTGCTAAAAAAAATATAACGATTGAAGTAAAAAGTTGTCTAAAAAATAATGACAGCAGTAAACTACAGATAGCTGACATTTAATTTGAAGTAAAGTATTTTTAGTTTGCTACCTGACGCCTCTGATTTAATTCATTTAACTTAAAGAACCTCATTGAGAAGATGAAATGTCTTTAAAGCGGAGTTGAACCTGCTGACCCGCAGCACCATGGCTTCTGTTAAAGCCTCCGTTCTCAGGCATGTTGATGTAGTTTCACCGTGTGTTTCAGGATTACTCGGTGGAAGGCATGAGTGAGTCTCTGCTCACTTTCCTGCAGCACCTCCGGGAGTTTGGACTGGTGTTTCAGAGGAAGGTGAGACTATTAAAACTTTAAAGATACCCAGGGACTTCTTTTTATTTTCGCTTTTAGTTTTAATCCCAGTTGGTTGAAATCATCTGTTGACGTAAACGGAAGGATAAGGAAAATTTAGTTGAAAAATACTTTATTAATTTCCAAAGGGGGTCAGTATGACGGTTTCTCCTTCCTTGATGTGATGAATGAGGCGGTCCCGCTCCACAGCGTCACAAACAGGACCTGATGGATGAACTTAAAGGTTTTCCTGTGGATAGAACATCCATCAGATCATCCACTGTGTGTCCACAGAGGAAGTCCCGGCGGTACTACCCCACCAGACTGGCCATCACTCTGGCTGCTGGAGTCACAAACAGCTCCTCTTCCTCCTCTTCCTCCAACATTGCCTCCGTTCCTGGAACTAAAGACGCCGGCTTCATTGTTGTGGAAACCAACTATCGTATCTATGCCTACACAGGTACGATGCAGCGTTTCTGGAAGGCGACACTGATTAACATGTTTCTAACCTTTGTTAAAGGGGAACACCATTTTTTTTTTACATTGGTCCCTTGATTTTACATTATTCCATCATGTTCTAATCACCCATATGAGTTTAGTGTCATTTGGAGCCGTTCTGAAGATATTCCGTTAGGTTATATCCAGTAACGTCTTCCTCTGGGCAACGACTTGAAGGCACAAACTGAACTGTTCATCATTTATTCTTTATGGTACGCCAGCATTCAGAACATGGAGGCCAATCACTGCCCCCCAGACATCCGCGGTTATATATTTTTTTTAAACAAAGCGGAGTGTGTATGACATCATCCGCGGTGGAGTCCCAGATTAACAGCCTCTACTAAGTGAGGATCTGCCCTGATGGTCTGTCCTAAGGGTCAAACTCAAGGCAAGGCAAATGTATTTATATAGCACAATTCAGTACAAAGACAATTCAAAGAGCTTTACATGATTAAAATACAGGAAGATAAAACAGAATCAAAGCAAGTAGGAAAAAAAAATTAATAAAATATAAAAAATGCAGGGAAAAAAAGGAATATTAAAAAACAGTTGGACTAAAGAAAATATGTTTTAGTTGAACTGTTTAACTAGAACAGTGGAAGGCAATCCTAAACAAATGTGTTTTTAGTCTTGATTTAAAGGAACTCAGGCTTTCCGCACTTCTACAGTTTTCTGGAAGTTTGTTCCAGATAAGTGGAGCAGAGAAACTAAATGCTGCTTCTCCATGTTTAGTTCTGGTTCTAGGTCTGCAGAGCAGGCTGGAGCCAGAAGACCTGAGTGGTCTGGAGGGTTGATACACTGATAGCAAGTCTGTGATGTATTTAGGTGCTAAGCCATTCAGAGATTTATAGACTAACAGAAGTATTTTAAAGTCTATTCTCTGAGATACAGGGAGCCAGTGTAAGGACTTTAGAACTGGGGTGATGTGCTCTACTTTCTTAGTCTTAGTGAGGACACGGGCAGCAGCGTTCTGGATCAGCTGCAGCTGTCTGATCCACTTTTTAGGCAGACCTGTGAAAACACCGTTGCAGTAATCAAATCGACTAAAAATAAACGCATGGATTAGTTTTTCCAGATCATGCTGAGACATTAGTCCTTTAATCCTGGAAATGTTCTTCAGGTGATAGAAAGCCCACCTTGTAATTGTCTTTAAATGCTTTTGGAGGTTCAAGGCTGAATCCAGCACTACACCTTCGGGTAGACTTCGGGCCTGATCAGTGGTTACTAGCTGAAGCCACTGAAGCTGTGTGCTAACTTTAGATCTCTCCTCTATTGGTCCAAAGATTATTACTTCAGTTTGGTTTTTATTCAGTTGAAGAAAATGATGGCGCATCCAGGCATTGATTTCTTCTAAGCATTTCCTCAGTGCTTGAACTGGTTCATAGTCACCTGGTGACATGGTGATGTAAAGCTGTGTGTCGTCTGCATAGTTATGGTAGCTGATGTTGTTGTTTTTTATTAACTGGGCCAGAGGGAGCATGTAGATATTGAATAGGAGGGGACCCAGGATGGACCCTTGGGGAACCCCACATGTGATTTCTGTCATCTCTGATGTAAAGTTGCCTACTGATACAAAAAGGTGATGTTGAACATCTGTCTGATGTTATTTCTGAAGGTTTCAAAATGTGGCCCCTTTTCCTGTGAGGTTTCTTCTCTAGTAGAAGGATGGAGATGTTTCCCTCATAATGTGTTTTAAATAAAGGAGATCAGAGGTTGGGAAACTTTAGAGTATGTTAAGTAGTTAATTAGTAAATGTCTATCTTGGGACCACCTTTTACAGTTGCCTTTTGTATCTATGCTTCTTTTTCTATGTCTGCTTCTGTCTCCTTGAACCCCAGTGGGCCTCAGCAGATGGCCGCTCACACTGAGCCTGGTTCTGCTGGAGGTTTTTTCCTGTTCAAAGGGAGTTTTTCCTCTCCACTGTCGCTACAAGCATGCTTAGTGTGAAGGATTGTATTTGAGTCAATAAGTCGATACATTCAGCTGGTTTTCCTTAGATAGAAAACTTTGAATCAATCTGACTGGATGTTCTGGTGAACTGGAAAGTGCCTTAAGATGACATGATGTGAATTGCTTCTATAGAAATAAACTGAGTTTAATTTAATGATCTTATTAACCAGAAGACCATTTAGTCCTAGATGGGTGCAGAGTGTTTGGTTCCATCCAGGACTAAATATCAGAAAAATTGGCCTGGAGTCAGAAAGGGAGACATCATCATTAGTGGTCTGATATCTTTAAATGGCGGCGCCTTAAAGCATCATAGACTCCGTGAAACGTTTAGGAACTGAGCCTTGAGAAAAATCCTAGTTTACATTTAAAGATTCTGATGAAGAGTTAGTTCAGGTTAAACTGTCTAAGACTGAGATATGAGCAGAAGCTCTTCAGGGCTGATCCACAGACTGAACTGGACTCTGTGTTTCACTTGCATCATTATTTTGCACCACCAGCTTTTATAATCCTTTTAAATTGAACACAACTCAACTTTCTTCGGCATTTTGCAGCATATTATTTTGCACTGAACTTTTTTCAAATGAATGCCTTTTTGCAGCATTATTTTTTCTCCTATATTGTTACATTCTGATCACGGCTGTACTTTATATTATGTTATTTTACGCCAACTGCAGTATCATTACACTGTTGTAAGCTGTATGCAAGGAAATGTAAGTTTAAATTTAATTTAAGTTTGTAAACGCTTTATTTATACAAAATGACAATTAAGTTTGTTTAAGTCGTCTGCATGACAAACGGTAGGGCTGATCGGGATTAATCAATTATCAAATTAATCATCATTTATTTTAAATTAACTGAATCTGTTACCTAAAGTGATGCTGATCAAACTGTTAAATAGAACAAATTAAACCTACTTAAAGCAGTAAGTAAGAAAACTCTACAAAAATACAAATCTTTTCCATTCAATATAAAAAAATCTGCCTGTGTTTATTTAAGATATGAATCAATGAAAAAGATGATCAATACTGGGCGGAGTCCAGTATTATCGGTTTATTTTGATCCATTTTACAAGTTTGAAACCCATCATAGTGACTGGATCTTAAACCAGAAACTTAAAGCAGAAACCAGCTAATTTAAGGAAAAAAGCTCCAAAGGTTAGATAAAAATAGCTGATCAGAATTTGATAAGAAATACCTGAAAGGGAAGGAAATCTGATGTGACAGGAACTAAGACATAAAACAATGACATATAAGTAAAACGTATTGAATAAGAACATAAATGATGGAGTTATGGAGGGTTAATGATGTGGCTTTTAGTAAAACGATGGTTAAAAAATAAAAAGAGCTGCTGATTTCCCTTAGATAGGAAACTTTGCTCCATCTGTGTGGATGATTGTTGGGAATGTTTGCATGAATGTAAATATTTCCCTCCTGCTGACTGGATTCTGTCTGTTTCCTTTCAGACTCTGAGCTTCAGATCGCCCTGGTGGCTCTGTTCAGTGAGATGCTCTATCGCTTTCCCAATGTGGTGGTCGCTCAGCTTACCAGAGAGTCGGTTCAGCAGGCCATCGCTAACGGCATCACTGCGCAGCAGGTACCTGCATTCCAAAAAAGTTAAAAACAACAATCCACTGGATAAGTTTGAAAACTTTTCTCTTCCCATCAAAGAAGCTTTTTTAATTTTAAATGTCAGAAATAGGGTTGAGTTCCAGGTTTTATCCAGTACCCCAAAAAAGCCTTGTTTTCGTTTAGAAAACTTGCAAATAGAAACGGACAAACGGGTCCACCCCTTTGGATTGCCTGCAATGCCCCATACCTGTCTATGTCTCTGAAAGGGGGGTCATTAGAGGGAATAGTTGGCCTGCCTGAATAAGCTTCTGTTTCCCTGTAAAGGGGAAAGTGGGAAGGGATCAACTCTATCGCTGCATTTTAGGTGTTTGAAAGCTGAAATCTGACTCCACCCCCTCTGTTTAAGGTTGGTTTTTCTCTCTTAACATAGATGGCTTCCTTCACGCCCCTCTCAAACCACCTATTTTCTTTGTCCAAAATGTGAACATTCTGGCCCTCGATGTCCTCTGTCCATAAGCAGGGTTTCTGTGGGTCATTAAAAATCATTAAAATAACTGCCTCTGGATAGTGAGCGATGAGAAGGATCTGAGCCTCTAAATGCACAGATCTGCTATATAGTTTTCTGGATAAAAAGACCTATGAACATAAAGGCCTATTTAAAATACAATAGATAAGAATTAAAAAATAGATTGAGATTCACTAATTTATTGCCATATACACTTCAGTGGAACCAGGGTCTGTTACACAGAGATCAGTTCTCAGGTGAATATTACCGTAAATTCCAGACTATAGAGCGCACCTGATTACGAGAAAATCTATTTTGTACTTTTATAAGCCGCACCGGATTTTAAGCCGCAGGTTTCCCACGTCGTATGAGATATTTACAAATAAAGATATTACACGTGAGCATTTTTTTAACGTTTGATTTAATCCGTATGATAAAACAAACAAATACGGTACATATTATGAACGCTTTTTTTTTCAAACTACCTGTAACACATTTAAATATACGGTACGTATGTGTCAGTAACACGCAAATAACGCTGCATATACCGGTGCTTTTAACAATGCACAGAACATTACAGCCGACCAGGAAAAGTCATCCATCACTTTCTTCTTCCTCCTGCGAACTAAAATCCTCAAAGTCCTCTTCCTCGGTGTCTGAATGAAACAGCTTCAGGATGCTGTCGCTGACTTCAGTCGCATCCTTGTCGCTCTCACCTGAGCACTCGCGCTCCTCTTCATCCCGCAGCAGCCCAGGTTCCCAAACCCGCCGGTGATGCTGGATGTTTTCACACGGCGCCATGAAAAAAAACACGTATTAGCCGCACTGTATTATAGGCCGCAGTGTTCAAACAGCGGGAAAAAAGTAGCGGCTTATAGTCCGGAATTTACAGTAATTAAACTTCACTATAACAGATTTTTTCAGTTGGCAGGAAGCTGAGTCACTGTGTTTATGACACACGTCACTCTATTGGCTCCAAAATGCTTTTAGGCAAACCACAAGGAAATAATTATGTTTTTAAACTATTTAAACGTTATTGAACAGTTCTTCACATCCATTACACAGAGAACACAGGATCGCTAGGGTGACCTTGTGCTGATTAGGCCTCAAAATAACTAAATTAACATCTGAATCCATATAATAGTGAAATAAAAAAGGTAATATATTTTGCATAACTTTATAAATTGTGCAAAGGGTTTTTAATGCATTTTATTTTTAATCTGCCTGTCGCCACTAAGGGGTGCTGGGTACCCCCACTTCCTGCGACCATGGGCCGTTCTACCCGCTCTTCTACCCAAAGCAGAGCTCTCCTCCCATACGATGGTTTCTGCTGTTAAACTGAAGCCAGGATGATATGAAAGTTGATGGAAACTCTGAACAGATCATGAAGCCTCTGACTTTGCATCAGAAATATGAAAGGAAGCCGTGGCTCAGCCTCCACAGGGATTAACAACTTTGTCTTTTAAAGTTCTTGTTTTGTTCCCGATTTATCTAAACTTAAAAATATTTTTAAAAGCTTCCTAGAAATGTGAACATTTTCCTGTTAATCAGGGCATCTAGCTTTAAAGTAACTCTGCACACAGTAAAGGTTTATAAAGCGTTGGTGGATTGAACCTTTGCTGTTTTCTCAGATCATCCACTTCCTGAGGACCAGAGCTCACCCAGTCCTGCTGTCACAGGTACCGCCTCCCCTCCCATTTAACGAGACTCGCTTATCCGATGCAAACCACGTCTTTCTGAGGTGTTAGTGCTGCGTGTGTTTCAGAGCCCTGTGCTGCCTCCAACCATTACAGACCAGATCAGACTGTGGGAGCTGGAGAGAGACCGGCTGCAGTTTACAGAGGGTGAGATGATGCTGAAGCACCGTGTTCTCCATCTCTGAACTCTTTTCAACTGTATTATTTACTGCTGCGCTTCAGCCTCTGAGTCGACGGGAGACGGTAGACTGTGAAAAATAAAGCAGCGGATTTGAACAGTTGTCCTCCAGTAAAAAGGACCTTTTCTGAGCTTTATTATTATTTTTAACTCGCTGTCGTCTCTGAAACATCCAAAATGGAAGAACCTGTTGCTGGTTATGCAGTCAGAGTTTGATTACTTTGATTTGAAAAGAATTGAATAATTACAGATGCAGCATCTGTCATCAGCTTTTCCAGTTTTCTCCTTTATTCCTCATAAAGTGTTGCGAAGGTGAGACATTGACCCCAGACTGACTGAATACAGACAGAATATTAAACAATTCTTAGACTGAATCATAAAAAGTTAAACCTCAGAGATTTTACATAATTTAGACCTAGACCTAGTGAAGAAAATGTCATTATTTACACTCTGAGGGAAAAAAGTTATCTTCAACATCAGCATCTCCAGAGCGGGGGGGGATTTACCATTAGGCAATGCTTTAAAACTCTGTTTACATGTATGGTTAAAACAACTATTCCTTATTATTGCACATCAATTATGTTTTTGATAAAAATACCATCAGAACGCTGATAATATTAAGTGTGTCTCCTGTCTTTAGCCGCTATATTTAGCCACTTTTCAGACCCCTCTAGCACTTTGATTTCTAAAAAGCTCCAAATCTAGAGACTTTTTTCTGCTACTGGAGACTTTGGAGACAACATCTAAAAGCAGCGAACTCTGCTCTCCAGAGCGAGTAGATTGGTAACCCCGCCTCCTGCTCTCCTCTATCTTGTCTGCTGTCATGATTCATGCAGCTATTATTTCATCCAAATGAAAAATGGAGAACAGATAAGCAGATCATGGCTTGTCTACAGTGAAAAGAAGGACTGGGTTATTTACTTTGGCCTTTTTGGAAACACAGGAAGGAGCAATCAGCTAAGTGAGCTTAGTGCTTGGAAAAAATCTTTCATTCCTTTAGAGACAGCATGAAAAGTCAGCTGAGTACAAAACATAGAGAGGAAAACAAGAAGAAAAGGGACAAGAAGAGAGGGACACAACCTAGAACAGATAATGGATGTCTATTCTATTAACATTTCTCTATCTGTAGAATGGCTCTGTTTTATTAGTTGATTTCTCAATTCAGAGGGCCCCCTGCCTGTCTTTGCCTAGGGCCCCAAATTTCCTAAATCCGCCCCTGCTCCAGAGTCCAGCTGTTGTTTTTTACCTACTTTTTTTTTCCAATTTTTGTGATCTTACTACTAAAAATAACTGAAAAAATTGCAACAAGCAGCCTTTTTGCATTAAAAACATGCAGGTTACATTAAAGGATCAATTATTTCAATACTTTCTATTAAAAAACCGAAGGTAGAAAGTATTGAAGGTAGAGCCCGAACAATAACTCGTCCTGAGTGATATATCGGCCGAGTGGGCCGACTCTTATTGAAGGGAAATTCTTTACTTCCATTACACACAAATTATTCTCCTTTTCTTGGTGGTTTTCTGCTTTTTATTTGTTGAAGCAATTCAAGATGTGATAAACTCAGATTTTCCCTATCGTTGTTTACTCCTTTGGTCTCTTGTGAAGAAAAATGTCAGAAATGTGCCTGACTTTAACCTGTAACAGTGTTTTTTGTATTTTTTTTAGGAGTTCTCTACAATCAGTTCCTGTCCCAGGCTGACTTTGAGGTTCTGCGAGACCGAGCTCAGGTTGGAACTTCCTCTAATGTTGTCAGAATCCCAATAAACCAACATGGCGGATATCCAGCAGGCCATCAGTGATCTTAGGTTCCCTTCTGGGATTTCAGTGAACTGCTAGCCAACATACATCGTAGGAGCAAGGAGTTAATCCAACCAACCAATTAAATCAGATATATCTGGACCCTGCAGGCCCTCTGATAGACTTCTGCTGTTAGAGTCTGAAAGTCAGCGCTGATAAGAACCACAATCTTTACTCCTGGTCTTGGTAAAACCCAAGGGAGAGGAAGAGTCGAGAAAGTCATCCAGGTTCCATCCATACAGGCTATAATAGTGGGATTAATCCGGATTAGCAGATTATTGAAATATTCAACAAATTTAGTATTCAAAAAGTCTTTAAAGGAATAGTACACCCAAAACATGATTAGCCTTCATTTTCTACTCACCCCCATGCTGAACAACACTCTGGAGTACTTTTTTGATATCGCAAATGCATCTGGAGATCTGGGAGGCTTCTTGCTGTCTGCTGACATTCAAATAATGGAGGTCTATGGCGCCCGAGGCAGAAAGGTCCATAAAAGTCCACCAAAAACGTGTCAATATTCCTCCATACTGCTCGTCCAATGTATTCCAAGTGTCCTGAGTGGGTAGCGTCCAGAATTTACTCGAAACGAAGTCATTTAGAATGTTTTTAGAGCATAAACAGTAGTGTATGGGATTTCATAAAAGCGCGTTCACAAGTCTACGGAAACCGCGGCAGACCAAACCAGATGAAAGTGCGCATTCAGCTCGGCAAAGAACTCCTGCTCTTCCTCAACACTGAAGTCCTCAGACATTTTTCTTTCGTTGTTTCTTTCTTTGCACAGGTAAACAGCACATTTCTTCTTCTACGCTTGCATTATCGGCAGAGCAGACGCTGAATGCGCACTTTCATCTGGTTTGGTCTGCCGCGGTTTCCGTAGACTCGTGAACGCGCTTTTAGGAAATCCTATACACTACTGTTTATGCTCTAAAAACATTCTAAATGACTTCGTTTCGAGTAAATTATGGACGCTAACCACTCAGGACGCTTGGGATACATTGGACGAGCAGTTTGGAGGAAGATTGACACGTTTTTTGTGGACTTTTATGGACCTTTCTGCCTCGGGCGCCATAGACCTCCATTATTTGAATGTCAGCAGACAGCAAGAAGCCTCCCAGATCTCCAGATGCATTTGAGATATCAAAAAAGTACTCCAGAGTGTTGTTCAGCATGGGGGTGAGTAGAAAATGAAGGCTAATCATGTTTTGGGTGTACTATTCCTTTAAATGGAGTGAAGCGACTCTGACAAGGATATATGCGTAAAGAAGAACCCAGACAAAGCCGAGTTTACTGGAAATAGATTTAATCTGAATCTAAAAACCTTCTTAGTCTGTAAATACGCTTTAGGCAGAACTCCTCAAGTTACAGCGTTAGCTGGATTCAGTCATAAACCTTTTGACCTCAGAGAGGTGATTATGATCATTATTATTAATTGGATCTAATTTTGTTCCTGGGATTTTCCGATCTATAATCTATTTCTATGTGTTTGTTAACATAACTTTATAGCCCCATTTACACTACGCTCTGAAACTGATCCGTGCCGAGTTCGGACCGAGCTTGGATCAGTTAACCGTGCCGAGCTCGGTTCCTTATTCCACACCACGCTAGCACGGTTACTCGCCTCCTAGTGGCCATCTACGGTACTACTGCTCTCTAGAGGTAAACAAGCAACCAACACGGCGGTGCCTGTAACATTCAGGAAGTTATGTTATAATTGTGATATCTCGTTGTTTGCCGAGAGTCAAGCGGAGAAGGAAGCCTTTGGAGAATTTACTTGACAGAGTCGGCTTTTTGGAAGTGGATACGACAAACAATGGTCTAATCAGGGCTTCCAGACGCAGGAAACAACAACAGACGCTGAGGTTCCTCGCACTGCTAAGCAGAATCATCACTGGAAATCGTGCGGCCCGGTAGTGATGCTAGTATTTTTATGAATGTGAGATTGCATGATTACGGAGACTGACTGTAGGAGATGACGCGGTCTGCTTATGCGCTCTTTTACCCCATTTACTCTACTCTTGAAAAACCGTGCCGAGACCGGTCCGAGCTCAGTAACTGAGATAACTTATCGTGTGTAAATGGAAAGCAAACTGAACTGAACAGAGCTAGTCACAACCAGACCGAGCTAACTGCAGACCAGAAAGTAAAAGGAAGTAAAATAATGCACTACATACCTTTAACTACCAGATTCAGGTGAGGCCAGTTTATTCATTTAGCAGATTTCAATATTAGGACAATTTAAGGAGCTGAACATAATAGGAAATAACAAGGAAAAGAACTTTGCAAGACAATAAAAAAAATTCAACAATAAAATGATGGATAAAAAAAACAGTCAAAGGTTTTTTTTCTATAACTCGTGCAATTGTGAAATATCAATGCAACGTTCATAAGCTGTATGTAACGCAATTTCGTTCTGTATGCACCCTGTGCATACAAAATGACAAATAAAGAAGTCTAAGTCTAAGTCTAGGTGTCTTTAAACAAATAAGTTTTATTTATATGTCGGGAAATTAAATGTCGTCTGCATAGTAGATGATAACTGATATGTTCGGATAAACCTCTGTTATTATAAGTTATGCTTTTTAAGATCTGAGTTAGAGGGAGCTTATAGATAGTGTGTATAGGGGCCTTAAAATGGAGCCTTGGGGAACGCCACAGCTAATGTCTCTGGTCTGTGAGGGCAAATAACAATAACTGTGGCAGTAAAAGGGAGAGCTAACGCCATGAGACACTGAGCCTTGTTTCCTGTGGCTTTGCAGGGTTTGGGCTGCCTGGTGTGGCAGGATGTGGCCCACAGGGTGATGGTGGTGACCCCCCACGGACACAGCGAGGTCAAGAGGTTCTGGAAGCGACAGAGGTCTCAAACGTGACCAGAGAAAGAGGCCCACAGAGAAATCACCATCGCTGCACATTTCTCTTCTTTTTTTTTTTTTTATTAAATTGATGATTCCTCCTACTTGCTTCATGTTTTGAACTTCTCTGCTGCAGATAAAGTGTTTAGTAAAGTGATTAAACAGTTAATTTGTAACTGTAAAAGCACACACACATATATATATATATATATATATATATATATATATATATATATATATATATATATATATATATATATATATAATAACGAAATAGATTTTTGTTACTCTAGACAGTTGATTCACTGTAGTCCAGAAACTATAGACTGAGATAATCCTCAGTGTGCTGACATTTTCAGTTTTCATTTAAAAAGGGAAACAATTATCTGACAAATACAGAAATGTGTCTTACGTAATCACAAGGAAGATTGCTGACATGCCAAGCAGGCAATGGAAACTTCCCAAGGAGAGCAGAACACAAAGACGTGAAAGAAACTTTCGTCTCAGTCCTCCTCCTTAGAATGGCATACAGACAGCAGCCATAAAGCTGACGTCAATAAAAACAGGAATATATCATTTCGATTTTATTTACTATCTGGAGGCCTTGATTCTTTAAACTAAGAGATAAAGACATTTTCTACATTTTGTGATGAATCTACGTTTGACTTGCTAGAATGAACCACAAATAAAATGGAAGTTTTTATTGTTTCAATCTTTCCTTTTTCTAAGAAAAGGAAAGATTGAAAAATTCAAGGTTTATTGTGATCTGATGAAGAATATCAGGGTCTGTTAGAATCGTCACGCTGTGCAGAGATCAGCTGAGCTGCAGTCAGTTAACCCCTAAAACTGGGGTTCCTGTTTCAATGCAATGACGGTTTCTGCCGTTCATTCAGTATTCCAGGGGCCATAACTCTGTCCATATATTTCTGCCTTTATTTCTAATTATGTCAAAGTTGGTTTTCCATATTTTTTTATTAAACCAGAATCTACGTCTTGAAACAAACCTCTAAACCAGGGCTCACCAAAGCACTGCCCGCTGGCACCAATGGGCCCCTAAGGACCACATGGGGGGCCCTCAGGATCTTCTGAAAACAGAGCAACTCACCAGTGGATTAAGTTTGGAAACTATATTAGATTCTGTTCTTTTTTAAGCATTTATAGAACATTTTATATCATATTTCATTGATATCATCTAAGCATTTATGGTGATTTCCAAATGACAATATGTAATAGAAAATTGGAAATTCAAAGAAACAAAGTTTATATCTATTTTGGATGAAGTTTACGTGGACACTGACTCCTCCAGCTCATAGTTCAGCATTGGTAGACCTTACTATGACTCAGTACCACTGATCTCTATTTATTCACTGGATTGCTGATTCCCCGAAAAAACTGAAGCCACCGGCCACCATACTGGTACTCCCCTCTCCCACGGAGGCGCAGTAAAAACGCCCTCATGTGTGGCATTTGGCTGCTAAAACCAGCAGTTTTCCAGCTGCAGGAAGACGTTCCACAGGTAATTTCCCAGTCAGTGGATGAACTAAGCAATAAATCCATCTATAGCCGATGGATCCTATAGTATAGTCTGCAGACTAACATTAGTCTGGCTTTCTCAGACTGACTAGAAGACATTGTCTGAGTTAGCCATTGACATTGGGTCTAATGTTAGAAAATAGAAAGTAGAGGAAATAGAAAGTCATTGTCAATGAAGTAATTCTTAAGCGGATGATGCTGTAGTTTTTGTTGTATTTCTCATTTGAAAAAGTCATGTGCTGAAATATATTGCATGTTATATTAAGGGGAAAAAAGCAAATCAAACATCTTTAAAGACAAATGCACAAAAGTATATGGCATCATGCATGCAACATCTGCAAATAGGAAAATACAGCATTAACAGACATGTACTTGTACTACTATCACCATAGCAATGTAACCAATACATGTACATATATTAATTATATTTTGAAGGATTTGTATAATATATTATAATACATGATGTATAGACTTAATTGACTTCATAATGACTATGCAATGTGATGGGCCTATTTTTCTATTATAAGTTACATTAATCTACAGATGCTATGAAACTGCCAGTGTGTATCAAAGTGATAAATTTATCTTTATTTTTTAAAAGTCTTAAGTCCCTTTGAAAATGAGAACATCTCTGTCGTTTGATGCTGTAGTGCACATATTGTTTAAATTGTGACCGGTCTAACTAGGGAGTACCAATATGGCGGCCAGTGGCTTCACTTCAAGCCCATGCTGCCAACGGGCAATCAGCAATCTGGTGAATAAATAGAGATCAGTGCTCAGTATCCATAAAGTAGCTCTCAGCATTGTAAAGGTTGGTGACTCCTGCTCTAAAGGATTAAAAAGTATAAATTGGAACCAAGTGGAAACAATTCATCACCTCCTCTGAGTGATCAGAGCCGCCCCCCATGTTGTTCTGCCCTGGGCAGTGAGCCATATGCTTCATTTTAAGCTCCCTTATATTCCCTATCTATAACAGAAAACTATAAATGAGTCTTCTGATTTTTTTTTTCTGTCACAGCATCATTAAACAATGATTTAATAGTTGATTTATTGTCCCCGCATCATTGTGTTGCTTCTAACTTCAATTTTATAACTTTATTTAAATTATTGGCTTCCGCAAAACGCGATGACAACAATTACAGATTATATATTATAACTTTTTGATCTGTTATCGCGTGAGAATGAGGAGAAATGAAGATGACAGACTGGGAAGAAGCAACACAAACATGGACGTATGCAAAGCACGGGGCCAGCCACGCGCCGCCGCTCGTGGAGGCTCCGATCTCGCGTGAAATTCTCCGAGATCCCAACCCGATCTTTAGCGGCGGTGAGGCCCGGGGTGATGGGAAGGGAAAGGTGAGCGCCGAGATGTTTCAGTCCGCTGCAGGGGGCGATCACAGCGGGGGGAGGAGGGCGGCTGAGGAGGAAGAGCCGCTGGATCCCGATCCGAAGGAAGAGCCGCTGGATCCCGATCCGAAGGAAGAGGCGCTGGATCCCGATCCGAAGGAAGAGGCGCTGGATCCCGATCCGAAGGAAGAGGCGAGCAAACATGAGGAGGAACTGGATCCCAGGATCCAGGTATGGAATCCTTTCTTTTGCTGCAGGTTAATGTTGAACAAAGTCCCTCCTTGTTTATAGATGCTGCAGCCTGCATGTCCTCAACCAGAGAGCTTTTAATTCATGGCTAATTTCTGTGTTTATCATTGAAGCACATCTCATTTTGTTTCCTCAGGAGGAGCTGGAGCGGCTGAACTTGGCCAGTGAGGAGATCAACAGACTGGAGCTGCAGCTGGATGTGAGGAAGCTTTCTTCTTACTCTCCCAGTTTAACCAGTAAGCTCTGGACCGGTGCTTTTCAGAAACTTTACAGGTTTAGGTAGTTTCTGTCACAGCTGCTTCCTTCCAGGGGGGCGGGGCTTAGCAGGCTGCACCTGGATCACCGACTTCCGGTGAAGCACATCCAGGGGAGCTGCTGCTGGTGGACCCAGTGGTACCATGTTTGGAGAAAACATGAATCACTGCATAGTTTCCTCTTATTTCTCTACTGGAGCTCATGTCAACAGGCTGCTGCTCCTTCCTGGAGGATAACCACCTGGGTTAGACCTTCAAACCCACTGGACCAGACCCCCAACACCTGCAATAATCCACTCCCTCCAAGTTCTATAAGAACATGTAACCGGATAGATCAGTTCCTGTGCCCATCTGTAGACCTCCATTCTCAGTAATCTAACCCAGGGCCGGAGCTAGATGGGGGGCCATGGCCACCCTTAGCCAATCATTGGCTACCTGTGCATTTTTTCCTTCTAAAGCCAGGCATACACTGTACAATTTTTTGCCCTTTTTTGGCCGACTTTCCAGTCCTGCAAGAATTTTTCGATAGGGCGTTCAGCCTGATCATGCGTGGTGTAGTGTACAGGGGGTAACTAGGGGCGATCAGCCTCTCACGACCACCTGCCCATCAGGAATCAGGAGAAAATCAAACATGTTTGAAATTCAGTCAGCCGACATAAGGTGGGAAAACAAAGACTCTTCTTCTTCTTCCTCTCAGATGAAAACCCAGCAGCATGTCGGGGGGGGGGGGGGGCAATGAGTGAAATGGAGTTCTTTCTGTCAAACTGACAGACCGTAGTAGCCACGTTAGCTCAGCCATGTCTTTGTCCAAATACGTCGTCTCCTTTTCTTTTTAGGGCTTTCAGCACAAAATTGAACAAATTACCAAGGCAGCGCGTTTCACTCTAGTGAGCTTCATATTCCTCTTCTGGCCGCTTGGCCTCCAGATAGACGAGTCTGAGTAGCGCCATCTCACTGCGGACCTGAGTCCGACGTGGTTTTTAGACGTACAGTTTGAGCAGGTAGATCGCATCAGAGCGTCAGGTCGCACTGTGTGAGAACAAACATGATGAGCTGTGAGCTGTACGAGGAAATCCTGTGGTTTCCTCGTACAGTGCGAGCTGTAGCTGCGTGCAACGATTGAAAAAAACTCGCACAGTGTATGACCGGCTTAATACAGACCGTGGCAGCTGTAATACTGCTTTATTTAACATTAATATTTTTCATATATTAACAATTACTTGACCACAAAAACACCGTAGTTAATTATGCACATCAGTATACTAACATTAAAGATGATAAATACAGAATTCCTGCTCTTTTCAGAACTAGATTATGAGAAAATTATGTCTCTGCAAGTCATCTAAGAGTCTTCAGTGAAATGGGAGATAAATAACTATTTTAATAATAACTTAAAGCTACAGTGTGTAACTTTTAGCGACATCTAGCGGTCAGACTGTAGACTGCAGCAACATGAACATCTCCCCCCACCGCTTCTCCCCCCCAACAGTACGGCGAGCGTTACGGGTCAAAATGTCTTCCACGACGTCCGCATCACCTACCTTCTAAAGTGATGAGGTTTGTTTACATAGATCATTTTAATACTGCCATCTATTGTTCAGTACCGTCTCAGTTCATCTCTCTCAACTTGCCGTAGTTACTTTCGAGCGTAATGGGCGATCTCGCAATCGCTAGTTTGTTGCCTCTGCGCTGCCGTAGCGCAAAGATGTCTGCCTCCATGGCTGCGAGACCCGCTCCTATGTAATTATAAATAACGAATTCTAAGGCAACGCAAATATTAAGGTTAAGAGGCTGAGCTCGTAGATGATGATAAATAACATAGCTATGTATAATATATTACATTTCTGACTGTATATCCCTGTAACTATTACACACTGTAGCTTTAATAATCCATTTAATGTAGATACTACATGTAAATATCAGTCGGGGCTTTCAAAACCTTCACTACTGGCCTAAAATAAATCAGAAACGATGACCTGCTTTCACAACCTAAACTTTAATTTTATTCTTTCCACTTGTATTAATTTATTTCAAGCAATCCGTTCTCCTAATGTTGTAGCGTTTCTATTGGCTTCACTGCTCCCATTAAAATGATGTGCTTTCTATATTTTTATTCCTATCAGATTTCAGCCTTAGTCAATCAAATCTGCCCATAGCTTAATACACCTAACTGGTGTACCTTAATAATGTTAGCAAGGAACGTTTTCTTCAACCAATCAGATTTCAGATTTGCCCCACAGGGCCAGCTGGAGGGCCCACCCCTTACGCTAGCATTTTCTGTCCCCTGATTGGTCAGTGAGGGCAAAATGTTTACAGCTAAGATCAGCTAGCGACAATTTGTATTTTAGATTTGCTTCTGTTCAAAGTTTTTCTGGCTTCAATGGCTGATAATGGAGATATTAAGATTCTGCACAAAGACAGAAGGATGGATTTTATAAATAAATAATCAGCATCTCTGGTGTGTGATATAATTTATAATAATCCTTTATGCTCCATTTTATCTGGTAATTAGATGCATATTGAATCTGAACTGCTATTGATGGTGTAAATGTTGCAAAGCTGTGGTTATATAGTATTTAATTCAATTCAGTTTATTTCTATAGCGCCAATTCACATCTTGTCATCTCAAGGCTCTTTCCAGTTCAACCAGATCATCCAGTCAGATTCATTCAAAGTTTTCTATCTAAAGAAAACCAGTTGATTGCATCGACTCATTGACTCTTCAGCAATCCCTCACACTAAGCATGCTTGTAGCAACAGTGGAGAAGAAAAACTCCCTTTCAACAGTGAAAAAAGAAAACGCATGTTTTCTTTCACGCTTCTTGCTGCCCTGTTGGCCATTTGCCATGAACCGCTTGATTGTGCGATGATCCCGCTTCAAAAGCTTGGATGTTTCCAAACTGCTTCTCCCTTCTGAAAGACATCTGACCATTTTTGACTTTTCACAGTCTGGCAAATCTCTTTTCTGACCCATTTTGCCAAAGGAAAGGAAGTTGCCTAATAATTAAGCACACCTTGGCTCTGTTCGAAAACCTAGGACGGGTCCTCCAAGGACGCGGCCTATCTAGACTGGATCCTTCGAAGTCCTTGAAAATAAGGAGACCGGAAGAGTTTAGGCTGTGAATTCGACCAGGTCTACCCTTTGGCGGGTTTTACCGCCGTATGCTCTGTTGCTTAGCAACCGTGAACGTTGACACACAAAGCAGGAAAAGAATGAATACAGAAGTTTTCAAAACTGTTTATTTATTTCTTTTTTATTGTGAAGTGAACAAAGACTACACTCACAAGAATCCAGAGTGGAATAAAGGTTCCAACCACCGGGAGCAGGAACAAATCAAATCAAATGTAATGATAGAAACCTTAGTCAGTTAAATAACCTGCTGCTGTCATTCTGCACATCTCTGATGCTGCTGCTATTTTCAAATATCCATTACTGTAAAAATGTCCATAGCTGCATATTGGTTATTTATTCCCCAGTTTTATATTGTTAAAACACTTTACAGTATTTTATTGTTTATATTATAACTCTTCCCTATTATGTTATTCTTATACATTTTTCTAAGGTCCTCATTTGTGTGACCATTTTCAATAATCTTTCTGCTGCTGTAAATTTTCCCATTGTGGGACAATAAAGGGATTTTCTATTCTATTCTATAAAAGGGGTAGAAATACAGGTGCTGGTCATAAAATTAGAATATCATGAAAAAGTAGATTGATTTCAGTAATTCCATTTAAAAAGTGAAACTTGTATATTATATTCATACATTACATACAAACTCATATATTTCAGATGTTTATTTTGTTTAATTTTGATGATTACAAATGACAACAAATGAAAATCTCAAATTCATCATATCAGAAAATTAGAATATTGTGAAAAGGTTCAAAATTGATGGCCCCTGGTGCCACACTCTAATCAGCTAATTAACTCAAACCACCTGCAAAAGCCTTTAAATGGTCTTTCAGTCTAGTTCTATAGGCTACACAATCATGGGGAAGACTGCTGACTTGACAGTTGTCCAAAAGACGACCATCGACACCTTGCACAAGGAGGGCAAGACACAAAAGGTCATCGCTAAAGAGGCTGGCTGTTCACAGAGCTCAGTGTCCAAGCACATTAATAGAGAGGCGAAGGGAAGGAAAAGATGTGGTCGAAAAAAGTGTACAAGCAAGAGAGATAACCGCACCCTGGAGAGGATTGTGAAACAAAACCCCTTCAAAAATGTGGGGGAGATTCACAAAGAGTGGACTGCAGCTGGAGTGAGTGCTTCAAGAACCACCACACACAGACGTATGAAAGACATGGGTTTCTGCTGTCGCATTCCTTGTGTCAAGCCACTCTTGAACCACAGACAGCGTCAGAAGCGTCTTGCCTGGGCTAAAGAGAAACAGGACTGGACTGCTAGTGAGTGGTCCAAAGCCATGTTCTCTGATGAAAGTAAATTTTGCATTTCCTTTGGAAATCAAGGTCCCAGAGTCTGGAGGAAAAGAAGAGAGGCACTTCATCCACGTTGCTTGAAGTCCAGTGTAAAGTTTCCACAGTCAGTGATGGTTTGGGGTGCCATGTCATCTGCTGGTGTTGGTCCATTGTGTTTTCTGAGGTCCAGGGTCAACGCAGCCACATACCAGGAAGTTTTAGAGCACTTCATGCTTCCTGCAGCTGACCAACTTTTTGGAGATGCAGATTTCATTTTCCAACAGGACTTGGCACCTGCACACAGTGCCAAAGCTACCAGTACCTGGTTGAAGGACCATGGTATCCCTGTTCTTAATTGGCCAGCAAACTCTCCTGACCTTAACCCCATAGAAAATCTATGGGGTATTGTGAAGAAGAAGATGCAATACACCAGACCCAACAATTCAGAAGAGCTAAAAGCCACTATTAGAGCAACCTGGGCTATCATAACACCTGAGCAGTGCCACAGACTGATCGACTCCATGCCACGCCGCATTGCTGCAGTAATACAGGCCAAAGGAGGCCCAACTAAATACTGAGTGCTGTACATGCTCATACTTTTCATGTTCATACTTTTCAGTTGGCCAACATTTCTATAAATCCTTTGTTTTTATTGGTCTTCAGTAATATTCTAATTTTCTGATATGATGAATTTGAGATTTTCATTTGTTGTCATTTGTAATCATCAAAATTAAACAAAATAAACATCTGAAATATATGAGTTTGTATGTAATGTATGAATATAATATACAAGTTTCACTTTTTAAATGGAATTACTGAAATCAATCTACTTTTTCATGATATTCTAATTTTATGACCAGCACCTGTATATAAGTAAATCTAAACAATATGTTTACAAAAAATATATCAGCAAAATCTCTAAAATTCAACAACAAAAAATACAAAGTTAAGCATATTGTGCAAAACAACAATAAAAAGATAAAAATCCTATCAGATTTATAGTCCCCACCCTGCAAATATATTAGAATCTGTCCTTAAATTACAGCCAAACCCATTTACACAGTAACAGATTAAAACCTTTAGATAAATCAAACATTACCGCCACATATCTGACTCAATAACCATTAAAACAACTATTTTCATTCATTTCAGACGGAACTATTCACAGAGTTGTATTATATTAAACTGAACTTCCAATTTTCACCACTGTTCGGCGCCAAGTAACCTTTCCTCTGATCACGGCTTGCTTGGTCTCGCAATGAATCCTGGGATATCCAAGAATGCCGAGGATACATCAGACCCGTCCTTCAAATCGGGCAAAAAGAAGGACGCATTTTAAGGCCGCATAACGAGGACTCTTGGAATCCGACCAGACCTCGGCGCCGCGCTATGACGTAATCAGCCTTCGAATCCGGTCTTCTAAGGATGCGTCCTAGGTTTTCGAACAGAGCCCTTATATAGGGTGTTGATGTCATTAGGCCACACCCCTTCTCTTTACAGAGATTAACACCACCTGATTTACTTAATTGGTAGTTGGCTTTGAAGCCTGTACAGCTTGGAGTAGAACATGTATGAAAAGGATGATGTGGTCGAAACACTCATTAGCCTAATAATTCTGCACACAGTGTATACATATATATATATATATATATATATATATATATATATATATATATACACAGTTCAAATATATATATATATATATATACACACTGTATATATATATATATATATATATACACAGTTCAAATATATATATATATATATATACACTGTATATATATATATATGTATATATACACATATATATACACGGTTCAAATATATATATATATATATATACACTGTGTATATATATATATATATATATATATATATATATATATATATATATATATATTTGAACCTCAAGAGATAAGAAGGAGACTAATTTTAGGGGTGCCCACTGAAGGCCTATGTACTGTATGCACTGCCCGCTACTGTAAATATAAATTTTATATATATTTTGGTAAAAGTAGGTAAGTAATGACAGTGGATAAGATGTTTGCCTCAGAACTCAAACTTGAAACTATTTTGTCCACTGCACCTTTAATTTAGACTGCATGGATGTTTAAAATATGCTTCTGTTTGTTAGCAAAGACTGTAGGAAAGTATAGTTTGTCTTTATTTAGAAAATATGGATGTTTTGCTCGTTAATTTTCCTGTTGGAACAGTGTAGACTGACCCTGAGGTTCTGATGTCTATCCGGCGTTTGGCCGTCTCTCAGTGTAGACTGCTTATTGCCTGGCCACCTTTATTAAAATGTTCCGGCTACGCCTCTGATCTAAGCTCACTCTTTAGAAGCAGCCTAAAAAGAACAACAGAAAATGTTGATCTAATTAATGACGGTCCAAATTTTTCTGGATAAACAACTGAGGGTTTAACTGTGAAATATGGATCTGTTTTTTTTATCCCCTCTATATTTGAGTGGAGCTTAAAATCTGTTACCTTATGCTGCAAAGCAACTGTTGAAAATACTTCTCTTCATCTTTACACTGCATTATTCTTTTCTACATGTTTCTACATGTCTTTTCTGGTCAGAAAAAAGTTTCAGAAAAGTTTCAGAAAAATCAGGTTTTAATATCTGAATGATTTAATCCACATATTAAATTTTTTTAACTGAGAGAAAAAGCAAACAAAAACAACTGAAACCAGAGAACATGGAGGTCTTTGGTTCCTTCTGTCATAGATCTGCGCTGCCACAGCTCGGCTCACCGGTTTTATTGTGTTTCCCCTCAGGATGCCCGATCCAGCTACCGGAAAGTTCTGACTGACTCAGCCAGGAAGCTCAACGCTCAGGCCTCTCAGCTCGGCGCCTGCATAGACAAAGCAAGGCCCTACTATGAAGCCCGCAGACTCGCTAAAGAGGTGAAAACGCAGTAAAGCCATTCTCTAAAAACGCTGCTGATGATGATCCGGTTCTATATGGCTGAACAGCCCACTGTCCTCAGTCAGCTTTAGCATTTCAGCCATTAAAGGGAGATTATGCAAACCTCACCCAACTGGCTAGATGGGGGTTTACAAGGTGGTTTTAATAGTCAGGTGGTTCCTGAGGGCCAAAATATATTCTGATCTCCCTGAAGCAGAGCTGGCCTCCCTCCCAGCTGAAGATAAGCTACTGTTTCCCACAAAGATGGCTGCTGCTATCACAGAAACTTCCCTCCACTCCATAGCGAGTAGAGTCATGCAGCCACTTCTGGAAAGACGGTAGTGAAACAGTTTCAGTCCAAAAACTGTTGCCTTAATAATTTGAACAAGAAGAAGTGAAGAAACTAAAACAGAGAACATCTAGAAGAGATTTAATGCAGAAAAACAGAGGGTTGAGTTGGGAAGTAGAGCAGTTATTCATTAGTAACGCCAAGGGAAATTAGAGTTATATAAAATGATATATAGAACTGGCCAATAAAAGAATACTAGTATATATTAGGGTATTATACAGAAGAGGATTAGGGCCACTAAAAAAAAAAAAGTTAACTGATTTTTAAATTTTATTTCAGTTTAGTATGGGTAAAAAAGTCAGAATTCTGACTTTAATCTCAGAATTTTGTTTTGTTTCTCAGAATTCTGACTTTAATCTCAGAATTTTGTTTTGTTTCTCAGAATTCTGACTTTAATCTCAGAATTTTGTTTTGTTTCTCAGAATTCTGACTTTAATCTCAGAATTTTGTTTTGTTTCTCAGAATTCTGACTTTTTTCTCAGAATTCTGACTTTAATCTAAGAATTCTGACTTTTTTTATTGTCAGAATTCAGTCAGAATTCTGAGGAAAAAAGTCAGAATTCTGACTTTTTTTATTGTCAGAATTCAGTCAGAATTCTGAGGAAAAAAGTCAGAATTCTGACTTTTTTTCCGATACTAAACTGAAATAAAATTAAAAAATCAGTTAAAGCTACAGTGTGTAACTTTCAGCGACATCTAGCGGTCAGACTGCAGACCGCAGCAACATGAACATCTCCCCCCCACCGCTTCTCCCCCCCAACAGTATGGCGAGCGTTATGGGACAGAATGTCTTCCACGACGTCCGCATCACCTACCTTCTCAAGTGATGAGGTTTGTTTACATAGATAATTTTACAGATAGTATTTCATTAGTCTGTGTAGGGTATAGATTTCATGTAGACTTAAGATAATAAATATACCCGTTATTTTTTCTACATCATTGTGACGTTTTGGCGATCTCACAATCGCTAGTTTGTTGGCTCTGCGCTGCCGTAGCGCAAAGATGTCTGCCTCCATGGCTGCCAGACCCGCTCCTATGTAATTATAAATAACGAATTCTAAGGCAACGCAAATACAGGTGCTGGTCATAAAATTAGAATATCATGAAAAAGTAGATTGATTTCAGTAATTCCATTTAAAAAGGGAAACTTGTATATTATATTCATACATTACATACAAACTCATATATTTCAGATGTTTATTTTGTTTAATTTTGATGATTACAAATGACAACAAATGAAAATCTCAAATTCATCATATCAGAAAATTAGAATATTACTGAAGACCAATAAAAACAAAGGATTTATAGAAATGTTGGCCAACTGAAAAGTATGAACATGAAAAGTATGAGCATGTACAGCACTCAGTATTTAGTTGGGCCTCCTTTGGCCTGTATTACTGCAGCAATGCGGCGTGGCATGGAGTCGATCAGTCTGTGGCACTGCTCAGGTGTTATGATAGCCCAGGTTGCTCTAATAGTGGCTTTTAGCTCTTCTGAATTGTTGGGTCTGGTGTATTGCATCTTCTTCTTCACAATACCCCATAGATTTTCTATGGGGTTAAGGTCAGGAGAGTTTGCTGGCCAATTAAGAACAGGGATACCATGGTCCTTCAACCAGGTACTGGTAGCTTTGGCACTGTGTGCAGGTGCCAAGTCCTGTTGGAAAATGAAATCTGCATCTCCAAAAAGTTGGTCAGCTGCAGGAAGCATGAAGTGCTCTAAAACTTCCTGGTATGTGGCTGCGTTGACCCTGGACCTCAGAAAACACAATGGACCAACACCAGCAGATGACATGGCACCCCAAACCATCACTGACTGTGGAAACTTTACACTGGACTTCAAGCAACGTGGATGAAGTGCCTCTCTTCTTTTCCTCCAGACTCTGGGACCTTGATTTCCAAAGGAAATGCAAAATTTACTTTCATCAGAGAACATGACTTTGGACCACTCACCAGCAGTCCAGTCCTGTTTCTCTTTAGCCCAGGCAAGACGCTTCTGACGCTGTCTGTGGTTCAAGAGTGGCTTGACACAAGGAATGCGACAGCAGAAACCCATGTCTTTCATACGTCTGTGTGTGGTGGTTCTTGAAGCACTCACTCCAGCTGCAGTCCACTCTTTGTGAATCTCCCCCACATTTTTGAATGGGTTTTGTTTCACAATCCTCTCCAGGGTGCGGTTATCTCTCTTGCTTGTACACTTTTTTCGACCACATCTTTTCCTTCCCTTCGCCTCTCTATTAATGTGCTTGGACACTGAGCTCTGTGAACAGCCAGCCTCTTTAGCGATGACCTTTTGTGTCTTGCCCTCCTTGTGCAAGGTGTCGATGGTCGTCTTTTGGACAACTGTCAAGTCAGCAGTCTTCCCCATGATTGTGTAGTCTATAGAACTAGACTGAAAGACCATTTAAAGGCTTTTGCAGGTGGTTTGAGTTAATTAGCTGATTAGAGTGTGGCACCAGGGGCCATCAATTTTGAACCTTTTCACAATATTCTAATTTTCTGATATGATGAATTTGAGATTTTCATTTGTTGTCATTTGTAATCATCAAAATTAAACAAAATAAACATCTGAAATATATGAGTTTGTATGTAATGTATGAATATAATATACAAGTTTCACTTTTTAAATGGAATTACTGAAATCAATATACTTTTTCATGATATTCTAATTTTATGACCAGCACCTGTATTAAGGTTAAGAGGCTGAGCTCGTAGATGATGATAAATAACATAGTTATGTATAATATATTACATTTCTGACTGAATATCCCTGTAATTATTACACACTGTAGCTTTAACTTTTTTTTTTTTTTTTCAGTGGCCCCAATCCTCTTCCGTATATTAGGGCCAGGCTAGAAATCTTTTCTTCTTGCTAAATAAGAGAATAAAGTCTTAACATTATGAGAACAATGTTCTTACATTATAAAGTCGCAATATTACAAGAATAAAGTCATAATATTAGGAAAATAAAGTTCTAATTTATGACAACTCTTTTAAGAAGCAATGCTTTCCCTAAAATGAGGAATGTCGATTATCTTGTAAAGTTATACTTTGGCATCGGTTTTACAAATAAGGAAATATTAAGTCTTTTAGGACACCAGCATCAAATTATTATCAGTATCAGAACTTTGCAACGATTGTGCAAAGGACTATGAACCCCAAGCTTTCTTTCTGAAACGGGTTGTGGTATGATGACTTAATTCTCTTAATTTTATTACTTTATTTTCATAATATTAGGTCTTTATTCTGATAGGGGTGTCTGCCCAGCTGACCAGAAACGTCCTCTCCAGTGTTAAAAATAAATACAGCCGCTTATGGCATGACGTTTATTCTATTATTGCAGAACGTTGTGTGATTAGGCGCAATGTTTGTCCCCAAAGGCCCAACAGGAAACGCAGAGGGCGGCGCTGAGGTATGAGAGGGCTGTGTCCATGCACACCGCTGCCAGAGAGATGGTGTATGTGGCAGAGCAGGGACTGCTGGCCGACAAGAGCAACCAGGACCCCACATGGCAGGAGATGCTCAACCACTCAACCACCAAGGTAGCAGCTCCGCCTCTGCAGCGTCTCTGTCCCCATCTGTTTGGGGGTTAACACTCTGTACTCATAGACGCCCACTTTATGAAGTCTCATTAACTTGATCAATAGTTTTCCAGGTTTGTTGAGGTTTACCTTAGATCTACAGCTATTTTTTTTTTCAGTTCACGTCTTTCCATCTGAACCACATGGCAGACTGGACGACTTAAGGTTACCAAAGCATCAAGCTTCTTAAACACCACCTTTTTAGTGCAATATCCTGAATGAGTTACTTAATATCTCATCTATCCTTAGGAATAGAAAAACATCTGAGGTGACTCCAATTTCCTGTTCATCAGAATTACTTCATTAATCCTTTGCAGGAAAGTCTTTTCTTGCAATGCAACCGTTTACAGAAGAGAAAAAATAAGACAGCAGTAAGTTTAAGAATAAAATAAGATAAGGATAAGGATAAAATGAGATAAGAGACATTTAAGAATAAAATAAGATAAGAATAAAAAAAAATAAGATTAGGATTATAATAATAATAATAATAATACATTTTATTTGAAAGCGCCTTATCACAACACCCAAGGACACTGTACAGGCAGATAAAAACATTAAAAACAGGGAGCTAAAAAGTACAAGCATAAGATGCCACAGAAAACAAAACAGCAGAAAGTAAAATAAAACCAAAGGAAGAAAAGGAAGAGAACAATATTGAAGTGATGCGTAGGAACTAGATGGGATAGGACTGTCTGAACAGGAAAGTTTTGAGTCTGGATTTGAAAAGAGGGAAGGAGTCCAGAGTACGGAGAACCGGAGGGAGGGAGTTCCAGAGGTGGGGAGCAGAGCGACTAAATGCCCGGTTCCCCATTGTGACCAGACGGGCCGAGGGAACGGAGAGCTGGAAGGAGTGGGAGGATCTTAGGGAGCGGGTGGGAGTTTTAACGTGAAGGAGATCTGAGATGTAAGATGGAGCCAAGCTGTGAAGGGCCTTGAATGTAGTTAGGAGGTGTTTGAAGATGATTCTTTGTTTGATGGGGAGCCAGTGGAGTTGTTGCAGGATGGGAGTGATATGATGAGAAATGGGGGTCCGAGTGATCAGGCGTGCTGCAGAGTTTTGGAGGAGCTGTAGTTTCTGGAGGGACTTGTTTGGAAGGCCAAAAAGAAGTGAGTTACAGTAATCGATGCGTGAAGTGATGAGACTGTGAACAAGAATGGCGGTAGTTTGGGGAGTGAGGGAGGGACGGAGACGAGAGATGTTACGCAGATGGAAGTAGGCAGACCGGGTGATGTTGTTAATGTGGGACTGGAAGGAGAGGGTGCTGTCGAGGACGACACCCAGACTCTTAACCTGAGGGGAGGGGAGGACAGTTGAATCATTGATGGTAATCGAGAAGTTATTAGCTTTGGAGAGAGTGTGAGGTGTGCCTATTAGGAGGACTTCGGTTTTAGAGCTATTCAATTTGAGGAAGTTGGATGAGAACCAAGAATGGATTTCTTGGAGACAGAGGGTGAGGGAGATTGGTGGGAGTGAGGCAGATGGCTGAGTAGAAAGGTAGAGCTGGGTGTCGTCCGCGTAGCAGTGGAATTTGATATGATGCTTACGGAGGATGTAGCCAAGAGGGAGGATGTAGATAATAAACAGGAGGGGCCCCAGGACAGAACCTTGGGGCACACCAGCAGAAACAGGGAAGTTTAGAATAAAATAAGATGTTTAAGAATAAAATAAGATAAGGTTAAGAATAAAATAAGATAAGGTTAAGAACAAAATAAGATGTTTAAGAATAAAATAAGATAAGGTTAAGAATAAAATAAGATAAGGTTAAGAACAAAATAAGATGTTTAAGGATAGAATAATATAAGATAAGAATAAAATAAGATAAGATAAGTATGAGAATAAAATAAGATAAGGTTAACAACAAAATGAGATAAGGATAAGAATAAAATAATATAAGGATAACAATAATATAAGATAAGGTTAAGAATAAAATAAGATAAGGTTAAGAATAAGATAAGGATAAGAATAAAATAAGATAAGGATAAGAATAAAATAAGATAAGGATAAGAATAAAATAAGATAAGGTTAAGAATAAGATATGGTAAGGATAACAATAATATAAGATAAGGTTAAGAATAAAATAAGAATAAGATAAGGATAAGAATAAAATAAGATAAGGTTAAGAATAAGATAAGGATAAGAATAAAATAAGATAAGGTTAAGAATAAGATATGGTAAGGATAACAATAATATAAGATAAGGTTAAGAATAAAATAAGAATAAGATAAGGATAAGAATAAAATAAGATAAGGTTAAGAATAAGATAAGGATAAGAATAAAATAAGATAAGGTTAAGAATAAGATAAGGATAAGAATAAAATAAGATAAGGTTAAGAATAAGATAAGGATAAGAATAAAATAGGATAAGGTTAAGAATAAGATAATGATAAGAATAAGATAAGGTTAACAACAAAATAGGATAAGGGTAAGAATAAAATAAGAGAAGGTTAACAACAAAATAAGATAAGGATAAGAATAAGATAAGGATCACAGAATATACAATCAACAGTATTCACAATTTCCTATGCTTTCCAATAGTGAAATGAATAAGTAATGAAATGGAATGACTTTCATTTTTGGAACAAAAGCAAACTGTGAGGATATGCCGGGCTGCTGCTGCTGCTGCTGCTGCGGTGCCTAGGTTTTAATTTGAACCTGGTTTATTGAAAGGAATGAGATGTTGATGTTTGTACTTGACCTGAGCCGTGCAGCGCTCAGCTGAGCTCCCTCTGCTTCTCAGGTGAATGAGGCAGAGGAGGAGCGGCTTCGCAGCGAGCGGGAGCATCAGCGAGTCACTCAGCTCTGTCAGGATGCAGAAACCCGAGTTCAGACCCTGCAGAAGACCCTGAGGAAGGTCATCCTGAAGTCTAAGTCCTACTTTGAGCTGAAGGCTCAGTTCAATCACATTCTGGAGGTAAGTTAACAGTGAAATCTGTCCCGGCTTTACAGCTCAGGGGATGTTTTCTCTGACTTGACTGTTTTTCAAAGTCTGTATTTTAGCACATTCTAAAGTCAAAGGTCTTCAACTTGGGGATCACAGCTCCCCTGGTGGGTCTCATAGGTCCTGCAGGGGGGTCGTATCATCAGCCCCTCAACCACGATATGATCTTCAATTCAATTAAGTTTCTAAAACGCCAATTCACAGCTTTTCATCTCAAGGCATTTTATAGAGACAATTCAACCAGATCATCCAGTCAGATTGGCTCAAAGTTTTCTATCTAAGTAAAACCAGCTGATTGCATCGACTCATTGACCCTTTAGCAATTCCTCAGACAAAGCCTGCTTGTAGCGACAGTGGAGAGGAAAATATCCCTTATAACAGGAAGAAACCTCCAGTATAACCAGGCTCAGTGTGAGCGGCCATCTGCTGAGGCTCACTGGGGTTCAAGGAGACAGAAGCAGACATAGAAAATGAAGCATAGAAACAAAAGGCAACTGTCAACCAGCTCCACAGGCGGCCCCGTCCAGGAAACACACAGCCAGGCAGACGAGCTCCGAGCCAGCTCCCATGTCAGAGGATGAAGAGAGCACAGTCAGAGAAACAGGACTACACAAAGGTGTTGGTGGCAGCAGCACAGCTGATATTTCTCTCCAGGATGGAGTCACAGCCAAACAGGAACAGACCAGATGAAGCTACTATGAGAAAAAGCAGAGAGAGCAGAACGTTGAACTAACAGATTCTGCAGAGTGGGAGAATAGAGATAGAATGAAGCAGAGTGATGAAAAAGGGGTCCCTATGTCCTCCAGCAGTCTAAGCCTATAGCAGCACAAATGCAGAAAATAGCTCAGGAAAACCTATTTTGATTCGGTATAAGAACGGTAGAACCACAGTGTGGCCAAGGTAGAGTGATTGTTAACAACTTTATTAGCAGCTCTCAATTGGCTGATACTAGCCCTTGACCCAAAACAGCAATACCCCTCATGGGGTCCGGGCATTGGGCCCCACATGGAGCAGTCAGTCCCCACAACATGCTGTTTTCCAGAAAGTGGGTGCCATAATATATTACATACAAGAATACACACAGACCCCACACCCGCAAAAAAAGTTTAAATGATTAATTTATCTTCCAAACGTACTTCAGACATTGCTTTAATGACCCAAAAGCTTTCCCATCGAAAAGTTATGCCGACACTAGGGCTAAAACAGTTAATTAATCTTGATTAATCAATTATTGAAGTAATCAACTAATTCTGGGATTGATGGATCAAGCTGACAGAATGACCCTTTTAAAGCAGTAATTATACCAAAACTGTGAAAACAAATATATAAACATTTTGATTTTAAGATAAAGTATGTTCTATCCAGAACTCTACATGTAGAAAAGTTTAGTTTCAGTTGGTTTAATTCTGTATAAAATCATCTTTAAGAAAGCTTTGGCTATCCATTTATTAAGCCATTACTTGAAAAAATAATCAATAGATCAGACAATAATAAAATAATTGTAAGTAGCAGCTGTAGTCTGCACATAAACACACAAAAAGATTTGCACATCTGAGTCTGCCTGTCTCTGTTTAACATTCAGGGTTGAAGCATAAGCTCCGCCCCCACTGACCCACCACTGACATTCGAACCCCTCTGACTCTGAGCCCGGTTTCAGCTGTTGGTGGTTTTGCTGCCCCTTCATGTGGAAACTCTCTGAAGCACGGGAGATCCTCCCAAAGAGAGCTTCTTCTTCTTCTTCATCCTATTTGAGGAGATGTTTTCCTCTCCACCTTCTCCTCGTGCTTCTCCAGGAGTGAATCCTGTATAGTCGGTGACTTTAAGAAGTCTGACAGTTTAACCCAGTGTGTTTGTGTAATGAGTTCAGTTGAACTCGATAAAGCACCTTCAGATGACATGTCGTCATGCAGAAATAAACTGAATTGGAGGGAATTTCAATGTAACGCTATCGTAAAGCTATCAGACATTCAGGATCTTTTGGTGCTATTCCTACTTGCTTTAGGAAATGTTCATCTTTTCATATGAAAACAAAGCACTTTCATATCTGAAATACAAAAAAAATGAAAGTTATCTGAACTAAGCAAAGGAGGAAAACGTGGTTCTCTTTTGGAACAGGGAAAAAACAAAAAGCAGTTTTAGAAAAATTTTAAGCCGATATCAGGTTTTAACTGCTGTCAGTTCATCAACAGGAGGAGCAGCTAAAAAAAAAGTATACCTGAACTTTTCCTTAAGCTTCTTTCTAATTTCACTTAATTTTTATTTGTTTTTTTCAAAGGTTTTGTTGTTCTTGTGGAAAATAAAGTTTCAATTAAATGTCACACATTTGCACTTGACTTTTGCCAGATGTTTGGGATGAACTGATGTGAGCTTCCTTTTTGTTTTCAGGAACATAAGGCACAAGTGATGCAACTTGAAGAGGAAGTGGTAAAAGTAAAGACACGGTACTCGCTGGCGCTGAGGAACCTGGAGCAGATCAGTGAGCAGATCCACGCTCAGAGGGGGCGGAACGTGGCCAGCAGGGGGCGACTTTCAGTCGAGGGCCGCAGCTCCCCTGTGGGAGCCGAGTCTGAGGTTAAAGGCGCCACAGGGTTTCCCTCCAGTTCCTGTGTGGAAGTCAGTGGAGTAGAAAGTGACTGGGCAGATGGGGAAAAAACACGGCTGTGGGTGGAAAGGCACAGAAAGAGCGGCTGGGGCCAGAGGGAGTCATGCGAGGCTGAGCAGGCGGCCTCAGATTCCATCACCAGCCTGCAGACCATCGCCTCAGACCTGGAGAAATGTGACTCAGTGGAGCACCTGTTCAACCTGAGCGATGGTGGCAGTGTGCTGAGTGAAGATGCTGCCTACGGCAACAGCCTGGTCAGCAAGGAAGTGGAGACTCCGCAGCAGCAGAAGATCCTAGTTAAACAGCATCAGAGGAGCGTTAGTCTGTGAGCAGCAGACTCTCTGATTACTGCATGAGGGAGAACATGGAGATGAACTGGCTGATCCTGATTCCCTCCATGTTCACACCTCATGGCTGCAGGAAGCAGTTTGCAGCATCTGGTACAGATCAGCGCATACAAGCAGAGGAAACACTGTGGTTGATTTTCAGACTGAAAAAAACAAAGGAGAACTCTTTACTGAAAGGCATGTGATGGATATTATAAAGGCGCCACAATGGATAGAGCGCCAGGAAATAGGTGTTTTTTTTTTTAAACCTAAGAACTTTTACATATTGCAATAACATTTTATTGTTCAAATTTAGGTTTTAAAGGAAAAGTCCGGTCAGCAAGGAATAATCAATAGATCATTATTTATACATATGAATTTAGACTTAAAAATCAGTAAAAAAAATAAAAACATAATTTTCAATGCGATCACTGAGTCTGGGAGCGGCCATTTTTGCCCAAATATAGTAACCCCTCCCTCCTGCCATCTTCCAGCAGTGACGTCACGGAGCGGTAAGCCTAGCGCCATTCTCCCCGCTTTACAAGCTAAATCAATGGGAACTACTAGACACATCTGCAATCAACAACAATTATTGAAGATTTCCAGAGGACTTCACCATTGAAATTCACCAGAGCTATAGTGAAACTGACAATGCCCACGTGCATGGCAGCTGGATGCTGGAATACATCGGGTAAAAGTGGAAAAAAGAGTTATTCCACCTTTCTGATTCCTGATCCTCCACGGACGGGTTGGTCGTTGGATCGCCAACTTGAAGAGGGAGGATTTACCATCGAACTTCTGGCCAGAGAAAAAACCCGTAATATGTAGCCAACATTTGGAAGAAGAATGTTTTCAAGATGACTTGGATAATAGCGCGTTGTGACAAACACCAGATACAGCACTGGGACTTGATCAACAGCCGATACTGCACTGTGACGTCACTAACCAGTAGGTGGCAGTAGTGTTCTTTGACAAACATGGATGCCTCCAGTAAAGCACATTCAAATGAAAATTACTCTGAATTAAAAACACTGATCATTTATTGAACAGGATGGAATAATTTCATATTTGAAGTTCTTTCAGAAGTTTGAATTCAAAATATGACCGGACTTCTTCTTTAAAAATGTTCTCTTTAATAAAAGCAGGTCACCTCTTATAAGAGCAGCTATTTGTCCAAACATCCATCCATCTTCGTCATGCTTATCCCTGCTGGGCTGGCAAAAGGTGCTGGTGTCTATCTCCAGCTGTCAGTGGGTGAGAGGCGGGTCCACCTTGGACAGGTCGCCAGGTCATCGCAGGACAACACAGAGACAAACAGGAGAAACAAGCATTCACACTCACACCTAAGGAGACTTTAGAGAAGCCAGTTAACTTATTATTCATGTGTTTGGACTGTGGGAGGAAGCTAGAGTACCCAGAGAGAACCCACACATGCTCAGGGAGAACATGAAAACTCCATGCAGAAAGGCTGGGAATCAAACCTGAAACCTTCTTGCTCCAAGGCTCAGCTCATTTAATCGCTCACAGATTTCTTTATGAATCCAGTCATCACTGCTGTCTCTGTTCTTTCACATAAGTCTGCTTGTTATTTGCTCTGCATCTACATTGATGACCGAAGCTCCAGACAGCCTAACCCTAATCTGGGGAAGTTTGCTGATGACACAGTCCTGCTCTCTACATTTACAACACTTTGGTTTAATGCTCCTCTTGAACTTAATTCAAATGAGACAACAAATTAAAAACCTCTCTGGGACTTTGCATCTTATATCATGTCTTCTGAGTTGTCAATAAAGATCAATTGATTGATTGATGCTCATCTTTACATGTTTAACATTTAATGAAGGAATTTGTTGCGGAGGTCACCGTATCTTATCTGTTTCATGTTCTTTTCATCCACAGACGGTTCATTTTGTAGCAAACTTCCTCCTTTACAGCATTGTATGGATTTGTTGATATCTGTCTTCTGTTGTTTCTGTTCAGTTGCGCCTTTTGATTGATCCTTGGGAACAACTAAAGTCTTACTAAACAACAACCAATGGTTGCTCTGAGTGAGCATCAGCCTGTGATTTTTTTGCTGATAGAGAATCTTTACAAAATAGAACTAGCTCATTATTAATCATGGATGATAGAAATATAGCCTAACTAACAGAGAATGACACATTTTAAAGGTTAGTTGTAAAGGACCAAACTTAAATGACAACAAATGTGTTCTAAAATGGAAAAAAAAACACTTTTATTTAATAATGTCAAAAATAGTTAAAGGATTAAACTTCAATACAAAATAGCCTAAATAATAAATAACATGGATTTGGGCCCAACTCAACTGAGGTCGACTGAACAATAACTGACTGAAACAAAAAACTCGCCTACTGGTAAAGAACAGAGGCGACTTAGAGGTTGATTTCCTAAACTTGCCACATGAGGGAAGAGTAGTATAACGGAAAACAAATTTAAAAAATCCTTTAAAAGCTAAAACACACTAAACATACAAATCAACCCTTTAACTGAGCATACAGCATAAGTGAATATTAAGGTGACAAAATAGCAAGATTGACTTAAACAAAATCCCCCCCTCAGTTCTTTGGGAAAGTGGTATGTTCCTGGCTTCCACCAAGCGTGAGTTAAACCATTCAGACATTGTCATGATTTTATCCAAAGATCTGACCCACGTGCAGAAAACCAAACAGAGACCAGGGGAAGGTATAACAGGTTTATTGTGAGTTGGTAGAGAGGAGTCCAGTGCTGCTCTGAACACTGGCAAACCGGGACTGAAAAGTTAAAGGGAAGATTCTGCGGTTAGTTCAGGCTCAGTGGGAGATTTGTGTCTTTGATTTGAAAAAAGGGAATAACGGCAACAGGACTCACGTTTCCAGAAAAACGTCTTTCATTGAATCCAGTCGGTGTGGGTTGTTCCAGTATTAGACCTGTTCGTTGGAGGGCGGACAGGGTTTAACCAGGTTGAGGTGTTTCCTTGAGGAACGGAGGAGCTGACTGCCGCTTAGATTTCCTGCGGTACTTGAACGGTTTCTTGTGGAGATGAGTCCCCTGCTCAGAGAGAAGCCCTAACAATCCTTGGGGAAAAGGTTGATCCAAATAACCAGTTTGAATACTCAGCTCAGTTTGACTCTCAGAGAATCCTTCCAGGGGGGAGAAGGTCCAAAACATGCAGTTTGCAGGATTACTTCCTGCCGAGAGGCAAAGACAAAAAACACCAAGGTTAAGACTCAGGTGAAAAAAACTCAGTTTGACTCAGCAAAACTCAGCTTGGCTAGAGTACCCAAAACTGGCAAACGCTCTGGCGTCGAGGGTTGTGGCAGTCAGCAGCTTGAGAGTCCTCCGGTAATGAGCCAACCATCCGCAGGTGTGTGAGAAGGCCAACGAGAACCAGGCGCCACCTGGTGGTGGAGGAAAACAAAAAACACAGCCCACACAAACTGGATTCCTAACAGACACATTCATTAAAGTGTACACCCATTAGAAAATATATTGAATAACATAAACCAAAACTGGAGCTAAATACAAATTATTAAAAAAAATTACACAAAGACTCTATAGGGGTGGTAGAAGGATCCACCACATTAGGAAAGAAAAACACAGAAAGAGGTACAAAAAAAACACTGTGTTTATTAACAAATTGGCCTTGGTTTACAGGAAACTGGTAAAACTGGGAATTAGATTGTAGAAAACTCAGAGCAGGTAATAAAGTGCAAATAGTGATTAACTTTTGTGCAGATAACGAACATAATATAAAAAGACAGCTAATTAATGGTTAACAACAGTACAATGTATACAACAATAACAGGAAATGCATTAGAACAAATAGTTCTTATTCATATAAAGAACCTAACTTCCAGCATACTTAGATGACCTCATGGAACCTGTTGGAAGCAGCAAAGGTCATAAGATCATAAAAGTAGGAGGGAGGAAGCGTCTGTGGCTATGCTCGTTTGTGCACCTGGGGTCCAATAGTCTTTACTGAAGGAGCTAGATAAATTTAGCAATCTTAAATTTTATGAATGAATGGTAAACTCATGCAGTTAATTTATAGAGTATATGATCTCGCTCTCCAAATGGAATGAATGCTGGCGTACCATAAAGAATAAATGAGGAACAGTTTAGTTTGTGCCTTCAAGTCGTTGCCCATAAGAAGATTAGAAAGACATAACTTGGATATTACAAAACCGAATATCTTCAGAGCAGCTCCAAATGAGACAAAACTAATATGGGTGAGTAGAACATGATGTAATAACGTAAAATCAAGGGCCCAATGTAAAAACAAAAAAAACAAACCCTTTCTATACATTTTTAAATTGGAGAGAAAAAAAGGATTAAGAACTAAAATAGGCCCAATGCTATCATCTATAATCTAAGGTGTTGATGACAGCAGTACAGCTGATATTTCTTTCTATCTTGCTAACTGTCCTTGTTGTAATGCAAATAACCTGTGATATGACCAGCCTTACACGAGACTGAATAAATGCTGAAACAAACTGGCATCAGAACAAGAGCATTTTTTCCCAGCACCCTTTCATTACCTGCCTCTGCAACATCAGACCTTTTTGCAGGACTATATTGATAAGTCATATCTAAATCTTTTATTTAGGCAAACCTATTGACATACGGGTCCTAGTTCCTGACCTGAGAACAGGTCATAACCAAGATTTTCCAACAAGGCAAGGCAGAGCCTATTTATATTGTCCATTCACCAACAGACTCATTTATATTGCAAAGCTCACTGTGAGAAAGAAAGAACGACTTAGAGAATAGTTGTATTTTGTCTGTTCTCACCTTTTCATGTCATTCAACATTTCAGTTTAGAAAATGACAAACAGTATGATTTCAGTATACTTCAGTATACAAAGCAGGGCTGCAGTGGAGGAGAGATTGCGCTGAAGTGACTTGAGTTATATTTGCCCTGTAGTAAATAGGACAGATGGTCATTTTTGTATAATTATTGTTGCTTTCCCTCTCTACAGCGTTCCAGCTCATGCAGCTATTTTCTTTGTACAGATCAGTTATCGTCTGATCGCTGCGCTGGTGGCTCCGCTGTCTAAAATGATTCCAGTGTTGGCGACACTCATGACTTAGACCTAGTTATATTTAATACAAATATGATTTTTTTTCCCCCACCCTGCTCTCAGGTAAAACACTTGTCAACAGAGAGGCTTGAGCTAAAACTGAAACTGAAATTCATGAGTTGTGAAGTGTCAGGATTTGGTTGTGGTTTGAGGACCCAAATGCAGAGGCAGGGAGGCAGAGGTGAGTTTGTTGTAGATTTAACACTAAGGCCCCGTCCACACGAAGTCAAAACGAACACGAAACGCTAATATTTTCCAGAACGTTTG